GCAGAAGTTGCATGATTTTGGACGACGATGCAACGACAGTACGAGGATCGCCAGGCAACTTTGTCCCCGTTTCTGATTCAAAAGCGGGATCTCCACTTGGGCATGTTCTGTCTTACACCGGTCGCTTTAGTCTCCCGCTACGTCGCACTCTTTGGCCTTCCACCTTCGCCTCTGTCACTTTTTGGTCTCGTTTTTCCCTCTTATTTTCTCACCGATTTATGCACATAACCACCTCTTATCGTAGGTCGACATCGTCCTAGAGATGGTGCACGGTGACGGGGAAAGTGCACGAGTCAGGAGAATTACCAGAAGAAACAAAATGTAGGATTTCTTGGCCAAAATCACAGAGCGTGATATATATGGAATTTGCCAACCACAATTGGCTGACAAGCTAAGCAAAGCGGCAAGTGAGCCTGCGGTGGGACGCGAGTTGGTCTGGCCGACATGTGGTGGCATAGTATGCCTGGTGGCGTGTGGTAGAAGGTGGCGGGCTGAATGTACGTCAAAGGTGTAGCGAGTCCGCGAAGGGACCCTGTTTGAGGAAATTTTCCAGCACATGGCATGAGGGACTTGCATGTCACCCCATCGTTGGAGGCACGCTCCGCAGTCGTTTCATGAGTAATAGATTGCTGGAAGGCTGAGAGTGCAAATGCAGAAGGTAACAAAAAGGACAAAGAATTGTAAATGAGAAGTAGAAAAGAAACACAGATGGGGCGAGGATGAGACACACATGTCAAGCAAGTCGACAAAGTAAGTAGAAACTTCGAACAGGAGTCGAAGCAGAGATACTTTGTGGTTATGGTGTGTTGGTGTGCTGGTACGTACCGAACCTGTTGCGTATTCCGTAGCTGGGATGGAAGGGTTGTGGAAATGACGGCGAGGGGACAGGGGGCTGAGAGGATGAGAGGAGAAGGAACGAGGACGAAGCCGAAGGTGCGTTAGCACCGTTCCCATGCCCAAGACCGCGAGCCAGTTTATGTAGGGGTAAAAGGGACGATGGTCCCTCGGGACCAGGCAAGGGCCGGGAGGGAGCTTTTCTGGCCTAGACCACCCGGCGAACGGCACACAGCCCGGTCAGGCCAAGCCACTGGCATTGGCTCACCACGGCGCCTTTCTAGCCCTTTGGGATGGCCTGGCCCGGGCCAATTTGTAGCTGTCCAGTCCATCGCGCCGCATCATTTCGTATCTTTTGTACACTTGTTTCTTGACTTGTTCTCGGTACTCACGTCTTCTACCGCTGCTGGCTCTAGTGGTTGACTAGAAACGTCTCAGCTCGGTCATTTCATTTCCGTTTTTGTAGAGACAAAAGACAAGACACAGCGTCACTTCTTCCGACTCACCGCCTGCGACGGTGATGGGTTGCAGGTTGCAGGGGGGTGGAAACACACTCATGCAGTTGACGAGCCCACTTCCAGTGGGCAGGATGATTCCCGTTTGGCTGGATTGGGTCCGCGGGGGGCGAGTGAGGGAGGGGTGGAGGGTCAGTCGGCCTGGCAGTCCTGGCTCGTCAGCAGCCAACAAGCACTCCCACGTCTGCCAGTTGGAGCAACATTCGAATGCCGCTCGCCTTGTCGTACACTGGGCTTGCGGCAGCTATGACATGATGTGAGCTGCGGAAGCGGTACCATGGTACATACTCGTCTTCCTCGTCTTCCCCGTCGTCTAGTCTGTCGAGCGTTTTCGTTTCCCCTGGCTTCTGCCTTCTCGTCTCAGTGCTCGGATAAAAAGCGACCTACTATGCAGGCCAAGCGGCAACCGTGGCCGAACGAGAGGACAGTTCAGACTGCGGATCGGGCGCAGGCGTACGAAATAAACAGCAAACAACTCCGCCATCAGCCGACTTGTAGGCGCCTAGAACGCGGGAGCATCCACGCCAATGCCCGTAGAGCCCGGCAAGACATGAACAGGCTGGGTCCGTCCGGTTTCCAATAAGTAAAAACGTAATTAAGGCCAGGGAGCCGTTACGTCAGTCGTCCAGGGCATTCGTCGTAGCAGGTTGGTGTTATCGATGCCGAAACTAGACTTGTGTGGGATTTCCGTTTGTATGAATGCGAATATGAATATGAGTATGCGCCAGTGTGCCATCGCAGATGCTTGATGAAGCAGTCATTGTGGCTATCGGGATCGGGGATGATTTTTTTTTTTTCAGGACTAGGTATGAGCACCATAGGAGCGAAGTACAGACGACGACGTGGAAAACGTACAAATTTTAGGAAAGGAGGCCCCAAACCCACAACATCTGCATTGGGGGGCCGCTAGGTACGGAGTAATACGTCGTAATGCATGCCATGCTCCGTATAGAGTACTCGGTGGAGGAAGGTGCCAGCCAACAGACACCTGCTCAACGGCGAGCAAAACGGGCAAGTGCCCGGAGAGTGATGGCAAGAGAGACCCCCAAACATGACCGCCCACCCCTGTCCACATGCATGCATCTTCTGTCCTTCCCCGGCGACGTCCACGCTCCCGGTCGTTCTTCCTCGTTTTTCTCGTTCCACCGCTCCTTCGATGAAAATGCCCTTTTCGTTCTTTGTCGCTCTGGCCGCCCTTACATGCTGACGTTGAGCCCCCCCCTATCACCTTCCCGTCTTCGCCCTCGACCCTGCCTCCCACGCACCCCACTCAAGGCAGACGTCGTACATGCAACGCTCTTTCCCATATGCAGCACCCCTCGCATGCCCTCCTGTCTCCTGACCTGGGGCACGTCTGTCATGAGGAATTGTAGATTTGTACGAGCGGCCGTGTATGTGCATACACCGGCAAGATACAAAGGACATCCAAGGTCAGGAAAGCTCTGAAGAGCATCCTTCGTCCCGACCAATCTGCTTCCCGTGGCGCCCATCGGGCCGCCCGGACCCTCATTGGTCGAAATCCCTTTCCCTTTCCCTTTCCCTTGCCCATTGCACACAGTCTGTCCAACCGAAGGGGATGGGTAGCGGCGGCGGCTGGCATTGTCTAGACCCGTGTGTTTAATCTTCATGTCTGGACTTTTATATGATTCGTGTGACAGGTGCTGCGTATGCGTGTGCGTCGGGCTAGAGTGTCCGTATATATCGCCCAGCCCGTTACGGAAAGCCGGAGAAAATAAAGCGAACAAAAGACCAACCATGAACGTCAAGGAAATAACTTTTAATCGATTCGTTCATTCTATTTTATCGATTTTTGTCTGGGCAGCTGATGTGTTGTGTGATCTGTGCCATGAAATGCTCTGCGCTGCAAGTATTTGCTTTTTTTTAACCTTTTTCTTCTGTACATGTTCCCTCCCGCCTCTCGTCATCCCACAAACAATTCTCCCTGCATACATTCATGTTGGTTCATTGGGTAGGACAGTGTTCTCTGTTGGCGACCGTTCGGCGTGCACTCAGAGTGAAGAAAAACAACCCCAACGGGTGATTCTTTCTGGACATTTGGGAGCCTCAGGCCGAGTTTCATTTTGATTTGAAGCATGCTGGTCGTTCTTGCCTTTTTGACTGACTTCGTTCCTATTAGTCTGCTTCGCGGTCGCACTTTCCTTTTCTTATTTTATTCCGCTCCTTCCTCTCTTGCCTCATTTGACCTCACCCCTCCTCTCCTCTCTTTGCTCACCGTGTTTTTCTCTACCTTCCGTCTCTGCCTCAGACTCTGTTTCTCCCTCCTCCTACACAGTTTCGTTTCTTTTCTTTTCATTCTTCTTTTTTATCTTCTCAGTCCGAAGTCGACACGTTGAGTATTTCACGATCACACCCTTTAGCCAAAACATCTACTCTACCGATTCGTCTCGAGCGTATCGTGAGGATCTCTCCCATTATAGGGCCCCACGTCGGTCAGAACCTTTATTGCCGCTCCCAACTACATGACCACGTCGCGTCGTCTACCCTTTATTTGCTCTCCATTCTCCTCAACCCGGCTTCCAATATTTCCATTGTAAGCTCACTTTCTCGGTTGTTTTCTCTCGCACTGGTGAACGCGTTCACTATTTCCCCACCAACCCGTTCCTATGAGCCCACTTCACTGCGCAAAGTACCTATCGGATTAGATTCTAACACAATATTCTGCCAGTTTAGCCAGCCTTGTTCGACGTGCAGGCATTACGTCTGCTTTGCGCTGCATAAACGTCGTCTTCGTTGGATTATTTTACAATATACGCAAATACACACGCACACACAGCCCAGCAGTGCCTCGACGTTCTTTCCCCAAGGCCGCGCTAGCTTAGCACCTAGACCGTAAAGCCGCGCTTCAAAAGGGTCTGGTGTCTTGTCCTGCTGTCTCGGTCTCCATCGTGCTAAATCACATTGTTTACACGAGCTAGGCCTAGACAAGGTCTTTTTAAAGAAAGTGGGTTTTGCCACTACTGGTCCGTCACCTGCCCCACCCAGTCGACCAGCAAGCCAATTCTTGAGGAGAGGGAGCGAGAACTCGATGGATTTTTCTGAATACCTTTGTCTCTTCTAACCTCGCGTCTTTACTTCCAGGTGTCGTCCCACCTATTGCCACTCCTGGACCGACAAGAGCTGTAGGAGAGACAGTCTCGTGGTAAAGGTGCTTGCCGCCTTTTTATATTTCTATTCTTTTGCCGTTTGTTTTCCGCCTTCTTGCACTTCGTCTTGCTTCGTGCAGACTTCCAATCGCTTCACTCCGTCCTCGTGTTTCTCGTCTCCTTCCTCTCCACCCTCCTCTCTCCTCCCTACCCTGGCCCCTCGTCTCCCGGTACTCTCGCTTTTGCGTCTGCACTTGTCTCTCTCCGCGTCCCTTACCGTCACCGTTCGGAGGGTTGCGTGACAATGCCCTGTCCGGCAACGTCTCGGACTCTCTCTTAATACCAACGAGCACCTCGACAAGGAATCTACTGGGCGAGGTTAGAACACAATATACCCACACATTTACCTTCGCCTCGCAGCCTTTACATTAGGCGAGCTGTTGCGTCGTATATAAGCTAACAGTTTACCTTCTCATCTAGATCCCGGAGATCTATCACAAACGTGCCAGTCGGTCTCTTTACCCCAGCGCGCCGACTTTACGATACCATGGCCCCGTCTACGGCCCGGTCTTGGCCGGAGGCCATCGTATATGGCATTGAGCTTTGGTACGGGGTTTTTCTCCTCGTAGTCTTTGTTATTCTCATTGCTCTCTACAGCATTTTCGATTCACGTCGTGCCGCACAACTTGTCCAGCCTGTAACAACCGGCCCTGGTGGCCGCCCTCTTCCACTTACGCGTCGACGTTCGCAAGATTCTGGAACTGTCACCTTCACACCCACTCCTGAAATCAATACAGCAGCCAAGCGCGTCTATGGATATGGATATGGCTTCTTTGTCCTCTCGTTTGTTGCAAACTTCGCCAGCGTGGTCTTGCACGCTGTATACGCAACCAAGAACCCCGAGATCAAGTTTGGTTGGTGGTGCGGTGAAGAGACATCTGTATGTTTGCCTCTTCTCAGTCCATGTTTCCGAACAAGTGCAAGCCATCTTGCTACGCAATCCCCTGTCTTTGCGTAAACAGATGCGCGAGGCTATAATTTTACGACTTATTTCGGTCTTGGAGCTGACTTCTTTTCCATTTATAGGTTTACTATATTTCCGGCCTTTTTATGCACCTTTACGCATTAATATACCTTGTCGAAGGCGACCTGATACCGAATCAACCTGTCATTATTTTCTGGGCCACCACACTCGCTGTCGAAGTTACCATATTTACGTTTAATATCATTCGCTTGAGAGGGTACCACCAAGTCCTACGCAGCATTGTTCTCGATGTATGGACAGTCGCATACGGACCTGATAAATGGGACTACGTCGACATTTCGATCGGAGTTTTTCGGTTGTTCGTCCTTGCTTTCCTTCTTGGTGTTAATATTTCTATCAACTATTCGCGAAACGCCGTCCGGGAAAAGGTGGAAGATGACAACTTACCGCCAGCGACTGAGGTTGATCATACGGACGAGTCGACGCCGCTTTTGAGAAATGGGAGCGCGGAGCGCATATCATACGATACCACTAGTTCTCGTGCAACAAACGGAACTGCTCACGGCTCGGGAAACGACGTTGAGAACGGCTCTGCTAAGTATGTTGACGGAGCGACGAAAGGGAAATCTGCCGGTTCAGTCAACGGATCTGCCAACGGCTCGACACCAGAACTGACCGATAGCAACGCGCCGGTAACCGATTCGGCATCAGACGGCCACGCTCGCCCCAATGAGGCTGAAGAGACCGCGTTCTACCGACCCCGAAAGCTTCCACACAAAACCTGGTGGGAATACTTGACAAGTTATTCGTTGTTCTTTCCATACCTCTGGCCTAGGGACTCGCCAAGGCTGAAGCTTGTTGTCGTCGTGTGCTTCCTGATCCTTGTTGTTCAGCGGATTGTGAACTTCTTGGTTCCTAATCAAATTGGTCACATTACCGATGCCTTCGAAGCCGGCACAGGGTTGCCTTGGATTGAGATTTTGATCTTCATCTTTTACAAGGTTTTGCAAGGGCAGTCTGGTGTGCTCGGATCGGCCCGTGCTCTACTTTGGATCCCGGTTTCCCAGTATTCATACTTGGCACTTACCACGGCAGCATTCGAGCATGTTCACTCGCTTTCCCTGGACTTCCACCTCGGCAAACGCACCGGTGAAGTGCTTTCTGCGCTCAACAAAGGCGCCGCCATCAACTCTTTTCTGGAGCAGGTTACCTTTCAGGTGTTTCCCATGCTTATCGATCTTTTGGTCGCAGTCATTTACTTCCTGCTTCGGTTTGGGGCTATCTATGCGACCATTGCGGCTGTTATCACGGTGTTCTACCTTCACATGACCGTGAAAATGGCTTCTACCCGTGCCGACTTACGACGTGAAATGGTGAATGCTGACAGAGAAGAGGAGGCCGTGAAGAACGACTCGATCATGAGCTACGAAACGGTTAAATATTTCAACGCGGAGGCCTTTGAATTCAACCGCTATCGGAAGGCCATCCGCAGTTTCCAAGCTGCTGAAGCAAAAGTGACATGGGGAATGAACAACATGAACATCTGCCAAGCACTTGTCTTCATGTGTGGCATTCTAATTATGCTTATGGTTGCTGCTGTCGAGGTCACACAAGGCATGAGATCTATCGGTGATTTTGTTGTTATGATCACTTACCTAGGCCAGCTTCAAGGGCCACTCCAATTTTTCGGCTCATTTTATCGAACCGTTCAACAGGCTATGATTTCAGGAGAACGTCTTTTGGAGCTTTTCAAAATCCAACCGACGGTCGTCGATTTGCCCGATGTGAAGCCACTTACTGAATGCCGCGGCCACATTCGTTGGTCAAACGTGCAGTTCTCCTATCTTCAAGAGCGGACCGCCCTACATAATCTCTCTCTTGTTTGCTCACCAGGAACAACGACTGCATTTGTTGGTGAATCTGGCGGCGGTAAATCAACAATCTTCCGTCTCATGTTCCGTTACTACAATTGCGACGACGGTACCATCGAAATCGATGGCCACGATGTCAAAGACCTTACTATTGACTCCGTTCGGCGTCATATTGGTGTTGTTCCTCAAGATACCATACTTTTCAACGAAACGATCATGTACAACCTGAAGTATGCGAACCCTGGCGTCTCTGATGAAGAGGTCTACGAAGCTTGCCGGGCCGCGAGCATCCACGATCGAATCCTCTCATTTGTCAACGGCTATGACACGAAAGTTGGTGATCGTGGCACGCGTTTGAGCGGTGGTGAGAAACAGCGTGTCGCTATCGCACGCACGATTCTAAAGAACCCCAAAATCATTATGCTTGATGAAGCAACGTCCGCTCTGGACAGCGAGACTGAGCAACAAATTCAAGCAAAACTCATCCGTGGTGGAAGCCTCGGTCAAGATCGCACTCTCTTAATCATTGCGTATGTTATGCCACCTATTATCCCCTTTCCAGTCTGTGACCTTGCTAATCTGATTTTCATTTTTAGCCACCGGTTGTCAACTATTACACATGCCGACCAGATTATCGTCCTTCATGCTGGCGCGATAATCGAAAGGGGTACACACAACGAGCTTCTTGCGATGAAGGGAAGATATGCTTCTATGTGGGAAAGCCAGTCCCAGGCCGAACAGGCTGCGGTGGCAGCACGCAACGCTACCGCTCACGCAAAAAAGCTGCTCCGCAAAGCTCACATTGGCAACAGTACGGGCCATACGCGAGGGTCAGAGGAGAACGCAGACGGGTACGCTAGCCTCACATCATCTACTATACTAGGTGCCGCTGGGACGGCAACTCCTCGGCAAGAAAGCGTTGAGAATGCCGACGAATCGTCAGATGACGGCCGGCAGCAACAGCCTTCTAAAACAAAATAATGGCCTTCAACAAAGCACCCGACGAGCCCAAAGCGACCCCTTCATGATTTTATTCTGTTCTGTTTTGAAAGGGCACGGAGTTTTTATGACGTTCCTCATTGGTCTAACATTTCGTTTGGATTTGGTCCATTTGTGGTTTTTCTATTTGGGAATTTTTTCTCGTTTTCCTTTCGTTCTTTGTCTCTTTACTTGTTTCTTCTTCCCTCTGTCAGTGTTTCATACTGAGTCGGGGTTTTTTTTATTGTCGTTTTGACGAATCGCATGTTGACGCTTTGGTTTTGCGTCGTCTATTTTCATCTCCTGCTCGTCTATCTTGACGGAGGCTGCGTTATGACTTTCTATTCCACCTTCCTCCCATTCATTCATATATACCCAAGTATCTAAGAAAACAGCACAAAGCGCATACGTTTACTGACCTTGCTTCTTTTGCCACTCCCTAATCTCAGTACCCTACAGGCGGGTAGTCTCGCTCTTAATATCCAGTCTTATTTTTATGATTGTTGTTTTTCGAATCTTTTGTTTTAATAATGTTGTTCGTTTGACTTCTTACTTTGCGTTTTCTCTTCGTTATTTCTCTCTCGAGGCTTGCTATATTTCTTACATCTTCCCTGATTTTCAAACTCCCGCACTCATCCTTCAGTAAGAGACTAAATGGACCATGACGGAGCGTGGCAACACGTTGCGTGGCGTACTTCAGGCGGTCAAGGATTGGGGACATGGTTAATGACCCTCTGTGATAGGATTGGACGGCGGCCAAGGGCAACATATTTTCTAACACATGATATAAAAGGACGAGGCCATCAGCAAGGAAGGCAAACAAAAATGGACGGGGCAGGGAGGACGGAGGATCGAGGACCTAGGGAGTCGAGGATTGGCCGCTAAAGGGTTAATAACTTTTTTTTTTCCTGTTTTCGTTTTCACTACCATAGCAAATATGTACCTTTTGCCATGAAACACTTTCGTCGATGTTCAGATCATTTTGTTCAGAATGTGGTATATCGTATGGGTGTGTTCATTTCAATTAAAATTATTACAAGGATGTAAAAAAAAAATGCAGGCTAAGTACATATGAACAAAAAGGAAGAGCATTAAAAATAAAAGTAAGTATATAAGGTGGTGTAAGGTGCGGAAACGAAAGGAAGCAAAAGTTAGACCCAGTCAACAGAAAACGAAAAAGATGATGGGCAAAATGGGTGAGGAAAGGTAGAAAACCGGGGACACAGGTCCCAGCCTCTCCAACACCCGTTCGTTACTTTTTAAGGTTCATCGTGCAAGGGCGAAGGGAACTTGTTGTAGAAGCGAACATAAGAAAAGAGAGAAAGGTAGGAAGCCCCAAAACACATCCAGGGAATGGGGCCTGAAGTACTTCAAAGGTTGTAACTAGACAATGTTTACACCATTCAACCACGCTCAGGAAGAGGTAACCCTCCATTCCCCAGGCCAATGGCCGAATACGAAACACAAACCCCGTGTCCGGAAGAAACGCCAGAATGCAATGCCATCTCTCAAAGAGAGAGACTAAGAGACGAAAATCAAAGCAACAAAGAAGAGGAAGGAAACAGAAACCAAGGACGAAACGGTCCTGTGAGGGCGATCGCCTGCTTGTGAGTCGTATTTCTAGCTTTTAACGTTCAAAGCTTCTTTGGTTGGTCTTACTGCCCGACTCGGTTTCTCTTGGCTGGCTTGCCGTTGGCGGCAACGGAGCCATTTCCGTTGGACAGCTGGGTGGCGAGCAGAGACGCCGACTCGTCAACGACGGCAATATCTTTGGCAGCCTCGTCGACCTCGGTGTCGTCCTCTCCGTCACTGCGATCGTCCTTGGCAACGTTATGCACAACAAAACGATAGGCGATCCGAATAATGAAAAAGAGCCAAAAGATGTTGAGCGCCTGAAGCGCGGAAAGCAACCCACACGTGATCACAAAGGCAAGCGGGCACTTAAATTGCTCGCCGGCCCAGTCCAGTTCATAGGGTCCAACAGTCTTGAACTCGGTGAAGAGGCTGTAGATGATGCGCAAGTTGAGGTAGTGGCGGAGGTAAATCCACACGCACATAAACAAAAAGTAGAAGGGCCCCATGAAGGGACCGTCAATGTAGTTGAGCGACTTGGAGGTCTGCAAACTGTCAGCGGCCGAAAAGACGCAGCACCAAAAAAAAGAAAAAAATAGAAAAAATTAGCGTAGAAGGAATGTAAACTTACAGCAAGAAAGAAGTCGCTGATATCATGGGTGATGTAGACGGCCAGGCCAATGTAGGTAAAATGGAAGCGGTAGCTCAGGGCAATCAGAGAGAGCGAAACAATGTGGTGGCCGACGAGTTCCTTGAAGTCCTTGCGGGGCTTCTCCATGCCGAGCAGCAGCACAATGGCCTGCTGGGACCAGTACGAGGCCTGAAACAGGTAGTAGAACTTGAAGTAGGCCTCGTGGGTCCAGTGCGGCGAGTTCTCGTACATGCCGCGGGTGTTGAAGAACCACACAGGGGTGCGGGACATGACGAAGACACCGGCCGGGCCGAGAATGCCAAAGTACAGCGCCGTGTACATCTGCTCCATGAACCGTGCCTGTTTGGAACGGGAGCGAAGACCAAAGTACCGGGCAAGGGGGCGGAGGAGCTCCTGCATGATGAGCTCCCGCGTGAAGGACAGGACAACCGTGTAGAACGCGACAAAGGCAATGTCCCAGAGGCCCTTCCCGTATTGTGCGGGGGTGCCAGGGGCGGCGTCGGGTGCCAATGGCAGCTTGTACGAGAGGAATATGAAGTGGTGCAACGGGTTGGCCTCGGTCGGGTAGGCAGCGTAGCCGGCGAGCATGAAGAGAAGAAGAGCCAGGGGCAGCGCCCACGTGTGACGCACGGTATACTGCTTGACGCGGCGGGCCAACGAACGGGCCTTACGCCGTTTTGACACGCGCCTGTCCCGGGAAAGGTCCTGTTTCTGCGGCGGAAAGCTTGGGTTAGCAGATGCGTGCGGGGGCTGCGGGATTGGGCCGAGCCCGTCCGGTTTCGAAATGCTTCAAGGCGCCCAGTTCCAACTCACCTTGCCATTGGCAGCCGAGGGATCGACGCCGTTCAAATGGGCCAGGCTGGTAGCCAGGTTGCCATGGCTGCCTCCGGACTGCTTTCTGCGGTGGGCAACGTTGCCGTTGCCGTTAGCAAGCGACCCTGATGCTGCGGCGCCGTTGCTCTGTGTCGTAAAGGACGAATCGGCATCAACATTTAAGAGCGGAAACGGCTCCTTGGCGGACGACGATGGGGGAGCCATGGTCGGCGTATCTGTGGGCGGATACAAGGAAACGGAGGCGATGGTCGAGGCTTCTCAATTGTTCTCCCACGTCGTTTCTAGCAGGCAACGGAAGCGTGATAACAACGTTCGAGATAACAATGTTCGAGATAACAATGTTCGAGATGACTGAAACGGCTAGGTCGTCCAAAAAAGGGTGAATGGATCGTTATCGTTGGAATGGAATAGGGATGTCGACTGCTGGTTGATCGAGAGCACGGCTGAGGAATGCCGCAAGTGACGGGGCCGCCGTTTAAATATGGATGCTCGTCGATGGATTCTCCACGTGGGGCGCGTCGAGTTGGATGCGACGAGGTGCGATGAGGTTGGATGAAGATGATGCGTGGGATACCGTTGTCAAGGCAAGTGGTCGTTGGCAGGGCGAGATAAGGGATCGGGAGGAGGGGAACGAAAAGTAAAATAAAAAAGTAAGGAGCGGAAGGTGGTTTGGGTGCCAAAAAAGTCGTCGATGGGGAGAGGAGGAGGGGAGTCGGTTAGGGGATGAGAAAAATCTACGCGCGACAAAAGGAAAATAGGGATGATCACCCTTGGTGGATCTAGTCGCAACGCCTGGCGTGGTCGCGGTTGAGGAAGGAGCAGGCGCGGCTAGGGAAAGAGCAAGCCGCGGCGTCGAAAAGGAAGCGCAACGGAGCGCAACGTAAACCAAAGAAAGGGGCTGCGGCGTGCAATCAAAGAATGAGAGCATGGGGCAGTCGCGGTGGGAGTCGAGGGAGCCGAAGAAAATAAAGTTTTTGTTCTACCGTCTCATGCAGAGACTGCCCGTCGTGCTTCGCGAAGGGGTCTAGTCACGAGCTTCGCGTTTTGGACTCGACCTTTTTTCGTCTTTTTTTTCAGTGTCTCTTGCCTTCCTCGGCCGCCATGTCCAGGACCCTCCCCACCTTTCCCTTTTGGGGCCACTTTCTTACCGCTGCTCCTGTCGCCCCTTTTCTTTCGCTGGCCTCTCACTCATCATATTGCGAATTACTTTGCCAGGGCCATTTAGTTTGGCCTGCAAGGTTTTGAACCACTGAACAGTGGCCTCCGCCAAAGCATTTGCCCCAGGGCCTAAAGTGCCGAGAGTGCTTAATTATTACTTTTCCGGACAATCTCACCCCAGTCACCAGAACTGTCAAATTGTGGTCCACAAGAGGCCTGCACTAGTGTCCTTCTGTTTCGTCAAAAGGGGCCAGGCAAGTCCGAGTGACAAAATGCCTTTCAGAAAGACGTTTTTCCTTGTGACAACAGCCCGCGGACTCTGAGGACGTCGCGGGTTGCGTCGCGCCTTCCGGCTCCGGGGGGCAAAAAGGGCGGGCAAGCCAAAAACAAGTCTTGCAGCCGGAAGCTACGGGCTTGGCTTCTTTATGGCAGGAATTGGACAATTAGGGCAGCCGCAGCCGCCGAAACTAGGGCGCGCCGTCGTTGCCATCGGAGGCGTCACGGGACGGAAACAACATGAAATTTCAGATCTTATCTGCACGCTGCCAGTGCTTGCGCCCGTGGTAAAACAGCAGTTACAGTGGCTTCCGCGCGCGCCGCGCTCTCTGCCGCAACGACGGCGGCATCTGTGTTATCTAACCGCAAGCCAGCCGCCGTGGAAGGTGGATCGATTGGCCCTACAAATCTTGTCACGAAGAAAATAAAGTAAATAATACAGAGAGAGCAAATGCAGGGAAAGTCACAGAATGCAAGAGCGGTCTTGGCATTGGAAACGGTGTTTCCGGCACTGGAATTGTGGGTGACCAGGGGGCATGCCTCGTCTTTTCCTTTTCTTACCCTTTCTTAAGTCCACCGACAGCTTCCAAGTGATTTGACGACACCCTCAAGTCGCTTTTTTTTTCATGCAAGATGTCAGGCGAGCAGGTTTGCACAGCTGACAGGTCCAAGTGCCCGGCAGCATCGGCTTTCCGTGTCGCACAAAAGCCAAGACTGCGAGGCAGCCTTTGTCTTTCTCTCTCTTTTACAGTCTCCAATAGGCTGCATGCCGACGACTCGCCCTGCATCCCACGATGGAAAACATGGCTGGACCTTGTGGACATGTATCGGACCTGCTTACGTGATGTACATCAAGGATTCGAAATGAAAGTTGTCATAATGTAATTCATGCTAGTATATACGCCATGTCCATAATCGCGACCGCAAGAGAAGGAAATGGAAGATCACAAAAGATCATGAACCCTATGAAAGCAGGGGTAAAACAAAACAAAATGCCAAAATGTGCAAGTGTTCATCGCCAGCATGCCCAGAAAACAAAGGAATAAAACAAATCGCTATCCCGCCATTTGGGTATCACGGCCGCCCCAACAGTCTGAATGTTTTTGCCGTACTTTTTCGTAGACGGTCGAAAAAGAAACCCATCTATACCCCAGAAGAAGAGCATTAACATTAAAAGACAAAGCCTCCTCCATGAAACTCCTTTTTCTTGCAACCCGCAGCAACTATTATGTATGTATGAGCTCACGATGGTGGTCTATCGTGGGTAGATGAAGAAGCAAACCAGCCGGTTCGTGACAGTGACGCTGCAACGGCGGACCCTGACCTGTTGCTTCTGCCTGCGGCGCCGGAACACAGAGAGAAACAATCAAAGGCATTCGAAAAATAGAGCATTGCTATTGCTTCGCCAAAGGTTCGGTCGCGAGAATGACAGTGCTGTCAAGGGCGAGTACTGGCTGTCGTTATTGTTGCCGTTGCATGGTTGCTGGGGCGCATCAGGACGGCGGTAGTCTTGGTGGTGTTGCTGATTGATGCTCGTGCTGCTGCTGCTGCTGCAGCGAGCCCGTTTCTTCTTCTTCCAGGACCCGGGTAAGTATGGCGCCCTGCCGCTGCGGCGCCGGAATGACCATCACGGGCAACCCGGTTGTGTCGACGGTCGGGCGAATTCGTTCGCGCAGCTTCTCAGCTTGCGTCACCGCAAACTCTTCCAGTCGAGCACGGATATCCCACCGACCGCCTTCCTCATGTTGCAAGCGGTCCTCGTCGAGAGACGGCGACGCGCCGCTGAGGGCCTGGCTGAAGGTCGACCGTGACGCTTCGCTATCGTCCCGACCTGATGCTGCACCGCGCCGGAACGGTAGCGCCTGGGCCAACGATCGCCAGCGTTTGGCACCGTGTCCAGCCGCAGCAGTCTCTGCATCGTCCGATGCCGAATGATTGCCATCCCGTGGTGGCGGCGATGCGGACGCAAAAGCGCTGGCGCTCTCACTTTGCAAGCTCATGAGGGACATTGTCGTCCTTGGAGGCTGGCCGTGACCAGACGAGCTCGTCGTACTGGTGCTATTGCTGCGGGACAAGAGCATTGGTGCTGCTTGATGGTGGTTGCCCATGGCCGAACTTGGGTTGCTGTCTGTCACAGTGTGGTACCGCATAACGTATACAGTGCTATCGGCACTGGCAGTGTCGGTCCGACTCACTGGCGTAACAGCCGGTGGTGGACGTGCAGGCCAGAGTGGTGGCTGCAGTCGTCGTGCAACTCCTGTTGCGCCGCCGCCCGCTGCTGCATCTGCGTCGTCGGATCCGGCATTGTCGCCGGGTACACTGGTCAGTTCGCCCAACACGGTGTCTTGTTGCGTCGTGACGGCCTCTGGATCTTTTGTCCATGGTCGCTTGCGGTGCCGATTTGCGAATGTCGACATGAATGGCCATATCCGGACAGCGGACCGAACCGTTTTGTCAGCACCAGCGCCATCCTGGCCCGTCGCAACATCGTCATCGCCGTCCTCGCTGCCGTCCTTGGGATCCTTGGGGTCCTTGGGGTCCTTGGGATCTTTCCCGCCATGTTTGGGGCTCTTTTGCCGTTTGCGGGGCCATGCGAAGTCAGAGGGCATGATGTCCAGCATCTCGTCGCCGTCAAATACCTCGCGCCCGAGAATGCCGTCCTTCTTCTCCTCGCGTTCGAGCGCTTCTATGCGCTCCACCCACTCCCACACAATCACACTAGCGGCGGCGGCCCCTACCCACAAGACGTAGTCGCCCCAACCAGTAAAGTCTGGTTTGCAAATGTCAAGAACGAAGAAAACAACGGGCACGAGAATGGCCAGTAGTGACAACGCAGCTACCAGGCAGATGTTGCGCATGCGTGGATGGTAATACGCATAGCGTTTCTTCATGAGAGAATAGTAGATGACCCATGCGGCATATAGCACGCCAAGGGCCAGCTCGAAGAGATAGCTGAGAGCAGGTATCGCATCGGTAAAGGAGTGGGTCGTGCCAGCATACAGAAAGCTGTTGAGGCAGTCGAAGACGACGTCGAGGGTGATGAGAGAAAAAGCCGTCCATTTGATAATGACCTTTTCTCTTTGACGCGGAAAGAGGCGAATCAAAGTTTGTGCCTGGGCCAGCCACAGGAAGGTGTTGGAGATGATGCGGATCACCTTCAACTGCGTGCCGCCGAGAACTTCGTCCTGCATCTCCTTGGCGTTTTGGATGCCCCAGGAGTACTGGCTCTCGGCGACACGGAATGTGTCGGCCGTGGCAATGGTGAGCGAGATGGCCACGGTCAGGGCAGCCACCTTCTGCAGCCACGGACGGCCACCAATGTTCTTGCCGCCGGAGCCACCGTTGGTGAACCCGCGTCGACCAAGAACGACAACGCCGCCGTCAAGGAAGGATCGCGGCGTGATAAAGAGCATGATGACGAGTGTGTACGCAATGACGGTCGTCGAAGCCAGCGCATAACACTGCGGGAAAGACGAAGCATAAAACGGATCGCGAAAATCAGAGTACTGAGGCGTTGAGTTGGACGTCTCGTCAATGTTGACGCCTGTGATGTTGGAGTTGTCGGTTGTTAGACTGCTTGTTGATGTCAAATCAGAGGGGTTTGCATTCACTGTGCCGGCACCCGTGTCGGCGATAATGTTGGGTGTGTCAGAAGGCAGGCATGTTGGCTTGTATGCAGCGGCCGAAGTGAGGGTGACCGGATCGGCGCCGGGTATGTACAGAATGCCGCCTGCTGGTAGGTTGAGCGCCTGGCAGTTGTATTTTGCGGAAGCCGCGGTGGGCTTGGCAGCGGTGCCGTCCGCCGCCGTAATGATCGACGGCGACACCATGATGTCACGAACATCCATGGCGGTGCTAGACTCCGTCCACAGTGACGGCCATCCAAAGGCGCAGGGCCAAGAGGTGAAGAAGGGACCGTTACAACCAGTTTCCTCTCCGTAGAGACAACAATCCGCCGGGGCCTATGATTCGGTCGCCATGAAGTGGGCTGTGAAAAGGGATATGTGGTCGTGTGCGCTTCGAAGACAAATACGCTGGGGCAAAGATGCAACCCAATCGATCACATCCGAGGCGCAGCACGGGCTGCGTACACGAGATCCTTTGTGTCTGACGTCGTGGTCGCGTAGGTCGTCGTGCTGTGGTGTTTGAGGGCCACAGTAAATGTCCGTACGCCGACACCTTCTTGCCACTGCTCTGGTAGCCCAATCTCGTACTTGTTGTGCCTGTCGCGGTTGTCGAGGTTGATTCCAAATCGTTGCGTGACACACAAAACCGCTCGCTCGGTAGTCGACCTATTTGCCTGGTAATGGAAATTCGCAAGGCTTGACCCACATGCCCGCTGCCGTCGTTCCTATCGATGCGTTCAAAAAGCCGTCTACAGTCGATGAATTGACGGCCGGTGACGATTGCGTGGCTCGGCGGCGTGGATCGCGCTGTCGAAAAGGGGAGTGTCTCTCCAGTTGAGTCTGGGGGCTGGGCGCCGAGAAAAGAATCGCAGGTACGCGGCGCTGTTTGCAGATGACTAGTACAGACGCCCGGGAGCAAAGGAACGTCGAGGATCGGAGTATAAAGAGGGAGAGAACACAAATAAAAGAACCGAGTCAAATCGAGGAAGAAGAAATCGGGAGAGGAGAGAAGCAGCGATCAAACCACGGTGAGAATGTGAGTACGACAACTGTGGGTTGAGGAGAAGGAGGAGCGGGAAGGAAGGAAGAGGGCGTGGTCAGGCCCGTTGTGAGCAGGAAAGCACGTTCGACGGTGGGGGACAGTCCCGCGTAACGCAGTAGGGGAGAGTGTTGTACGGGGACGGCAAGAGGACGCTTTTGCAGGTGGGTCGCTCTTTCCTACAGCCCTCTGTCTCTGGGTGGCGCTGGGTTAATCGTCTCGAATGTGTTTGAAACTGTGCTGGACAAAGCAAAATTTGGTGGATCTGGGAGCCGGGCACAGGCCCTGGCTGGTTCCAACAGGGCACAATTCCTCCCCCTCCCGCCCGAAATTGGCTCGGGAAAGGTTTCTGGCTGGCGCCTGGACTGGAAAAATTGACAGCCCCGCCCGAGAAAGCGACGGACAAAGGGCGGAAAAGGCAAGTACAAACTAGGGAAGAAGCATCCACTAGGCGCCGCTAAAAATGTTAAAAGCGCCTGTATACAGTGCGCATAGTGTTTCTGGGATGCACTGGTCAAATGCATCTCCTCTCAATCTGTTGACTGATTTTGGAGTACGGAGCACTTTGCCTTGCATTTGTATACACACAGAGTAGAAGAGAGTGCCAATAAGAAATAAAGCACTCCGAAAAGGATACAACTCACTCGGGGAGCCAGAGTCCGGTCCCCAGTTCTTGGATAGGGCGTGGGAGTGCCTCCTCCCGTCTTCTCTTGACTATGCCAATCTAAAAAAGGGTTCCGGCAAGCGGATGAACAGGAATCGACGGTAAATGTACGGAGTACACGTAATTAATACTTTGGTACGGTCTCCTGAAGCTGGTCTTGAATACCGACAACAAACGGTTATCAGGCACGAGGGACAGAGGTCGTATTCGCGTCGTGCACAGTATCTGTAAGTACAGTAAACAGTATGTATTCGCACCGTATTGTTTTGGCATGAAGTAATGAAGTTAGGGCTCGTTTTAGTGGCTGAGAGTGTCCTGTTGTGGCGGTCCCATGTTCTTTTCCAGGCTTATCTGCCATACGAAATACGCTGGAGCCAGACAAATAGCACCACCTTTCCGCTGTTCCGTCATCCTCTGCGCAGATCGTCTCTTCAGCTCCTCGAATGCTACCACGACTTTGTTTCCCTCCCCTTCCCTTGATTTCGCTCTCTGTGCCCAGTTCCGCTCTCTTAATTCAATCGTAGAAAACCCCATATCACAGTTTGTCAAGCTGGTTGGCCGCTCAGGAACCCGTGCGTGGTAAAGAGGGGTAATAGCGCCTCTTGCCAACCCGCCCGAAATGCTTGTGTTGCTTCCCCGACGTCTTCCGTCTTCAGACTAGAACGATGCTGCGGGGATATGGAGCGTAATGTTGATGCCAAGGGGCTGGAAGAGGAAGGAGGAATGGCTAAGCATTCTCATCTGCAGGAATACAACGGGGAACATGGACGATATAACTGCCGTCTTTGGTTTTTCAGACCCTTCCCTGCAGGGAAGCAGCAACACGCCTGAGCGTTGTAATATTTGTATTACGGCTCACCTGGTAGTCGCTCTTACCGCTTTGGACCACGTATTCTTCATCCCTCTGGTTCTTGGTCGCTTGCTTGTTTGTTTTTTGATCGAATCCGGTGAACACACTCGACGTGAACATGGAAACTCGAGAACTCGTCCCCGGGTGATGTTCTGGGCACGTGGTGGGAAGTTGGTGGCGTCCCAACTCACTGGGAGCACTAACGCCACCGATAAGCGATAAGGCTGGTGCAGGCAACATTCGCGTCATTGGCAAAACTACGTCGTACGGCATGCGACATGCACACCTTGACGTTTCAATACTGGACACTCGTTCTTCCCGGTAGTTCGTCGGGCCCTTTTTGTTTCTTCGTGATGGGCGAGCCGGACGAGTCTGCCCGGGCGCCGATACGGGCGCACATTTTGGCGTCCATCAACCCTTTTATGAGCAACTCGGCAAATGGGGACGATCACCGAACGGATCACAAGAGACGGCCAGGACGACGGCGACGAACGTATTCATCAGAGAGGGCCCGAAGCGGCGCGGACGAGAACTCGGAGGCCGCTGAGGCTGGCAGCGGCGACCACCTGCGGCCGCGTACCTCCAAGATGCGGTTCAAATCGAAGCGACCGCAGGAGAGGGTCGGCGACGACGACGACGACGACAGCCGTCGGACGCGATACAGAAGCCGAGACTACGAGACAGACAGCGACAGAGGTCGCGATACTGTCATCGACCGAGATACGAAACGGAGTGGATACAGCAGCAGATTGGGCGTTGGTGACGATGCCACCCTCAAAGAATCCCTGCACGACTCCACAAACCACGAGGTCCGTTCGAAGGAAGAGGCCAGCTCACGGCGCCGCCACCATCGCCGCCGTCGACATCACCACGGCCGACACCATATGCGGACAGAACGGTCTCTTAGTCGATCCAGGTCACGCTCCCCCGCGTCGGCGGACGGTCATAGGGACAAGAAACGGCATCACCGCAGATCGAGGCGCGACGACAATGGACGTGAACAAGAAGAGGAAGACCCGTACGCCGATCCACCCCTCGACCCGGACGCCGCTTTCCGTCAGTCCCTCTTTGACGCCATGGCCGACGACGAGGGCGCCGCTTACTGGGAGGCTGTGTACGGCCAGCCCGTGCACGAATACGCCGAAGAGGCCAAGGCATACCAACAGCAGGCTGGTAGTGGAGGCGGCACGGCAGACCCGGACGGCTTGTCTGCAATGAATGACGACGAATATGCCGACTATGTCCGCCGCCGGATGTGGGAGCGTTCAGACGAGGGCCGGCGCGAGACACGCGAGCAGCAGAAAAAGCAGCAAGCGGCAGCAGCGGCAGCCGAGAAGGAGCGCATTCGTGCAAAGCAGCGTGCGTTTGAGCAAGACCGGCGACACTGGGACGAGGTCGAGCGCAGCTTGCGGCGTGGTGAGGCGCGGAAGAAGAGGCGGTTGTGGCAGGACCGGTGGCAGACATACACGTCTGCATGGTCGACCTGGGAGGCCAGCCCGTCGCCCGGTACCATCCCCTGGCCGGTGGCGAGGGATGAGGCGCCAGACACGGATGGCAAAGGCCAAGAAGAAGCGTTTGCGAAGGAGGTCCGCGCCTTCTTTACGGGCGGACCACAGGACGGTCCCCGCTACGACGACGACGGCGACGACGAGAAGCTCGAGCCCACGACAGAGAAGAGTTTGCTGGCTCGGCTGCGCGATGAGCGCGTTCGCTGGCATCCAGACAAGATGCAGCAGAGACTGGGCGGCAGAGTGGATGCGATGGTAATGCGCGACATTACAGCCATCTTCCAGGTCGTCGACCGGCTTTGGAGTGAGCTGCGGGAGAAGAAGTAGAACGCCAGTTGGGCCGTGGTCCCTGTACTTGGATTGAGCGTGCCTTTCACATATTTGATACCCTCTGAGCAGCATGCGCAGTTTCTTTCGTTATTTACTTTTTCTTTTCAACAATTCATTTGACTTGCAAACCACATCCTTTGCAAGATAAGACAATCATCCTATGGTCCGTCCCATACGCCTAGATGGTATCATGATGATGCACCACGTAAATCAAAAATACAAAAAAAAAAAAAAAAAGAACACAACGCGCAGCTACCTTGCTCCCATTTACGTATCCCGGTACGGCGACATGGCCTTTTTCAGCTCGCCGACAATCTCCGTGGCCTCGTCGGCCGACTTGGCCTCAAAGTCGTACCGCTTGCTCTCCGTCGCCTTGTAGACGATGAGCTTAAAGTGCGTCGGGTGCCGCAGCGACACCTTGCAGCCCACCACGTTGCTAAAGTGCACCGTCGTCATCTTGCCGTGGCTGCTGGTGCCGCCGAGGTTGTTGGCAGCGTGCGAGATATGCACGTACTCGCCGTCAATGGTCAGCACGCGCTCGCTGGAGCCCATAATCTTGAGGCCCTGGCGCCGCCACACCGTGTATTTCTTGTAGTTGGCGTCGCTGACCTGGTCGAGTCCGCCGTTGCCAGCAACGGGTCCAAGGACGCCCGCCCGCAGCGCTTCACGCGCAAGCGGGTGCGAGCCGGGAGTTGTGCCCGCCGCTTTGCGGAAGCGTCGCGACGCGGCCGCGGCTGCAGACGACGAGCCCCCCAAGCCGACGGCCGAGCCGCCAAGACCGTCGGAGGACAGCTTCGGCGACCCTCCGCTGCCGGGCGAATACCCGCCTCCCGCACCAGGCGTCTCCGAGGCAAAACGCTTCCGACAGAGGTCCAAGTCGGACACATTGCCAATAGACGCGACGGCACGGTCTGTCAGCACAACGACGCCCGAACCGGGAAGTTTGAGTATGTGGTTGGCCTTGTCCAGGCGGCGCCGCTTGCAGACCAAATCGAGCACCTCTTCGAGATACGTATCCGTCGTCACATCGACAGTGACCATCTGACCTGGAGCCGCATCGATTGAGTGGATGTGTACACGAAGCAGCTTCTTGCGGCCGCGAGCCAGATTGGGGGCCGCGGTGGTCGCAGGCACATCGGCGTGGTTCACATCGGCTCGGAACATGGTCGTCAGAATCGGATTTCTTCGCGGCTGGTCCAGAGGCACAAACTGCTTGTCTCGAAGGTTAATGGAGCTCAGGAGCTGTGATGGCGGTTTGGATTGTTGTTGATGGTCTCGGAGAGCTGCAGACGACACGGCGCCCGGCTGCGGCGTCATATTCCGAGGTGTGCGTTCGCCGTCCTCGTCGAGAGGCGCGCCGCCAGCAGCATCCTTGTCCTCGGCGTCCGACGTCGTCTCCTCGGCCGGCTGCGGCGTTGCGACCTGGTTGTTGGCAAACTCGGATGCCGAAGCCTCGACAAGGCCAAAGTCGTCGTACACTTTGGAGTTGGAGCGGAAGCGCATGCCTTTGCTGTTGTTGGCCGTCGTAAAGGACACGAGCGCCTTGGTGCGCTCGAGCGGCGGGAAATCGTCGTCGACCTCGCCGCCCTCCTCCACCATGCGCAGCGTCCACCAGTTGATGTTGAGGCGGTTGGCTGGCAGCGGAGGCTCACGCTTTTCTTCAATGTACCGCCACAGACTCAGGCCAATCAGGTCGGCCACTGTGACGGCGCGTTCGTTGCTGTTCTCCTGGTGAACGGACTGTCGGATAGCCACCTCGAATGGCTTCGAAGGCTGCTTCGACGAGGGCACATAGATGCGCACCATGATGGGGTTCTGCTCGCCCTGGCCAGATAGAGTCGCAAAGCGGTCGAAGGGCATGGAGGATGTCGTTTTGGACTTGAGGGCCGCGGTCAGCAGACTCCGTGGCGGCACCATGCTCACGGGGCGGATGGCGCTCATGGGCCGAGGCGGTGGCAGGTCACCGATGGGCAGATGCGGAGCGGGGTGCACGGACCGACGGACAGTCGACGTGCGCGTGAATTCCCGTGGCGGCGTGCCGACAATGGGTCCGTCGTTGGGCGGTGGCTGTGGGTTGAGGGGATTCTCGCCGACAGACTGCAGGATGGAGGCCGAGTCAATGCTACCGCCAAACGTCGACGACATGTCCGAGTTGTCCGAGTCGTCGCTGGGTTGGAGATGCTCGAGTTCACGTTCCTCTTCGAGCAGGTCGCTCTCTTGTCGTTTAATGCCTAGAGACGAGCCGTTGTCCGCTACGGCGCCGCCGCTCGCCGAGCTGCCACCGAGACTCCCGCTCCGGGCTTTGTTGAGAGCCGTGTTGCTGCCACTGGACGCCTGTAGGCGCGACGAAGCAGCTTTGGCACGGGCACTGCCCCGACTCGATGCGTGCTCGCGCTCACGCTCCCGGTCGCGCTGCTGGTGGAAGCCGGACGCGTCGAACTCGCTCTCGGACGACAACTCACTGCTCGTGACCGTGTCACGCCGAGCATGCTCCTTGACGACCTCGAGCGCCGATTGCGAGCCTCGTCGTGGCGGACCACCTCGTCCCGGCGAGGCTGTCCCCGCCGCTCCTCCTGTCGTTGCCGCGGCCGCGGACACAGCCGCTGTTGCAGCGGCAGTGGCCGTGGACATGGGCCCGATGGGTGGATTCCGCAGGTTCGACGATTGCAGCGGCGATGAGCCAGACCGGTGGCGGATGGGCATCTTGGCAAACTTTATTTGCTGGGCCGCGCGTTGGTCGGTGCTGCCATCGTCGTCGCTCTCGTCGCTCAGATCACTGCTGTCCTCGTCCTCGTCGAGCTGCTCACGCCGCCGCCGCCGTTTTGTTGCGGCCGCGACTGGCCCCATTGTATCTGGCCCACCACCGCCGCCGCCGCCGCTGATGACGCTCCCTGCGCCGCCGTTCCGACCGCCTCGGCCACCGCCCATCCCGCTTCCACCACCCCCGAGGATACCACCGCCCTCGTTGGGCTCATCTTCGAGTGTGAAACCGAGCGTCCGCGGTGCGCGAAAGTATTCAGAGGCGACAGCAGTGGGGATCGGCGGTGAGTGGGTGCGCTTTATGAGGCCGGCATTAGCGCGCCATCCTGCTGCTTTGAACGGAGCCGAGTTCACAATGGTTTCGTTGAGGATGATGAGGCGCTCGCCCACGCCGTCGGCGACTTCATTGAGGTAGGCGGTGCGGAGCTGGTAGGACACGAGGCTGCAATAAGAAAGCCAGTGAGCAACGGAGCGGATAGGGGGAGCCAGAAAGACAAAGAGACGACATGTTCACAAGGAGCCCAGCACGTACTCGCCAACTTGAAGAACGGACATTGCGACGAGTGCGGGGATGTCTTTCGGTAGCCCACCGATTCAATCGAGCACAGATGCAGTCCCTGGTCGTCGCAGTTTTGTGTCTGTATATGGTCGTAAAATATCCAGCATCGGCTCGAAGATATCGTTAAAAGCAAAAAGAAAGGAAAAGAAAAAGGAAAAGCCAGTTCGGTTGCCTGGGCCGTCAGTTTACTGTCGTATCGCAAATCGTGGTATATACTCCGCATATATATTAAAAATAATCAAGAACGATAAGTCGAAACGCCTGCCGAGTGTTGGAGATGGCCAGCCATCACCAGGAGGTGGAGGAGAGGGAGGTCGGCAGGGGGGTCGGTGGGCAGAGTCCGTCGCGGTGCGATGGTGAAAGCGATGATGATGGAAGGAAAGCAGGAGTTTGGTCGAGATGCGAGCTGCTGGAAGCACGGTCAGTAGTCAGTAGGGGAGATAAGTGCTGTGGGGGCTGTAGGCAGATAAAGCACGTGCATTAGTTACAGCGTTGGTGCAGCACCATTTTTAGTGGGCTTCTACGGAACTACAGTAACCAACGATACGCTAAGACGCTGATGTACGTAAGGTTTAGGGGCGCTGTCAATTGCGGTGCTCTGTTTTGTCCAAGATCCACACTCGCAGCCTTGCGTTTTACGACGACCCTTCGGCCACTTCGACTATCCCAACCCCTCATACGATAGCCACACACAAACGACAGCCGACATCATCGACACAAGATGGGCCTTGTCGACTACGACTCCGACGGATCGGGGTCCTCGGACGGAGAGGCTGCCGCAGCGCCAACAAAGTCGACGACGGCAAGCGGCGGCAAGAAACCGTTCCAGAAGCTCGTCGACCGCGCCAACTCGGGCAAGATCCTGGTGAACCTACCATCGACAGCCGCTCCCAAGGGCGGCGATGCACAAGACAGTGACGACGTCGATGACCGGCCGGCAAAACGCGCCAAAGTCGGTGCTGGCGGCAGCCGATTCAGCGGCTTCGGCTCGTTTCTACCACCACCCAAGAAGACAGGTGCTGTTGCTACACCTGCAGCGACAGCGTCCAAGCCAGAGTCTTCCTCGGCCGCCTCTCCACCCTCCTCTTCCTCCTCCTCCTCCCTCTCTTCAACTGCAAGGCCGGGCGTCCACCTCAAGACGAGCTCCGAGGCAGCATTCAAACGACGCGACAACCGCGACGGAGATGCCTTTCCCATCAACGGTGACAATACACCGGCAGCGGTAACAAGCGACACTTCCTCTCTATCTTCTAAAATGTCTCTGCCGCCACCAAAGGCGCCCTCGATACCCAAGGACCAAAAGGCGGCCGAAGATGTTAAGCTTGTGGGCAACCCGCTCATGTTTATGCCACTATCGGTGTCACGCAAGCCCGGCGCCAAGAATAAGAAGAAGCCGGCCGTGGCCGTTGGCGGCGGGAGGGCACCAACGTCAACGGGATTGACAAGGCACGTGTCCGTAGACGGAACCGCCAGCAGCAATACAGCACCAGCAGAAGCACCGCCGCCAAAGAAGAAGGTCTCGCTCTTCTCCCTGGGCGCCGACGATCAAGCCGAGGCGGAACGGGCGTCGGCAGCAGAGCGGGCAGCCGAAGAGGCGGCCGCAGCAGCCGAAGAGGCACCAACAGACGACTACGCAAGCACGTACCAAGTAGCGCCACCCGCGGGCTACGGCTATGACTACAGTGGTCACGACCCGTCGGCAGCCGCGGCAGGGACAACAGGCAACCCAGCCGATACATCCTCCGTCAATGCGTTTGCCAATGACATGCACTTGTCGGCCAAGGAGCGGCGCGAGCTGTTTGGCCGCACTGGGGCTGCGGCGGCGTCCGCACAGATTGCCGCGACGTTTAACATGGACCATGAGTACCGGCACAATGAGGCGCTGCGACAGGCCGAAGAAGGCACCGGTGGTGGCCAGCAGCAGTCGCACAACCCTGTGCGTACTCTGATGCCCGGCAAACACAGCTTGCGGCAGTTGGTGAACCAGGTGCATTCGCAACAGGATGCGCTCGAGGAGACGTTTGCCAAGAACCGGCAAACGCAGCGCGAGTCCGGCGGCAAGTACGGATGGCGGTAGGCAGATAATACAGGCCTGCTCACTAGCGGATGGTTGAGGTTGGCAGGGCTTTTGGCGTCACTTCATGTCGATGGAAAAGCGTCATATTATATGGTATAATTTTCAAATGCAACGCTGGCTCGGATACAATTGAAGTCTCCAGCCTTCTATGTACAGGTATATACGATCTTCAAATATTAAAACGTTGTGACAGTCACTTGGCGCCCTGTCTGGTCGCCCATCAAGAAACCCCATTCGCTGCGCGTAATGGGCGAGATGTCGTCGTAGTCCTTGGGTGGCTGAGGAGCTCCGGCAACGACAGGTGAAACAAGGATAGAGGCGCGGGAGAAACGAGGAAGGTGGAAAGGGTCGACAGTATCCTCGGCAGGTGACAACAGAGCAGTCGAGTCTCCGACGTCCTGCAGCATCTCGCCGATGCTAGCGGCACCGAAGAAAATGCTCCCTCCGCCGTTCATGCGGGTATTGTTTATGGGACGGGCTGTGAGCTGCTCTTCTTCCTCCTCTTCTCCCTTGCCGTCCTTCGGGCTCTCGTTCGCGGTCGAGCTGATCGCTTTGGTTGTCTTGGTTGGGTTTGTGTCGAACGATGTTTGCAGCGTCAGCACAGGAAGCAGTTTGTTCGGCGACGACGGGACCTTGGCTGGGGAGGTGGCAAATGGGCGTGCTGATGCTGGGCGGAGGATGATCGGCGACGAAGGGCTACTTGTGCAGAATTCTGGGACCCTCGATTTAACCGCTCCCAAGACAGGCGACTCAGAGTCTTCAATGACCACGCTGAGCTCTTTGGGGCCGCGGGTGGTGCACAGGTCCTCATCATCTGACAAGATGGACAGCAGAGAAGATGACAGTGACGGAAGCGACGACGCGATAGTAGACGTCTCCGATAGCACGTCCGAGGCGTTGTCGGACTCATCTTCTCTAGTCTTGTCTTGGCCATTCCCTTCCTTTCTTTCCTCGCCATCCATCTTGCGGCGGAACCGGTTCCGGCGCTCGGCAGCAGAACCGAGAAGTGGCAGCAGCATGGGTGGGTCAGAGGATGAGATGTTGAGGAACGATGTCCATGTAAGGGATGGAGGGGTGGCCGCTTTCTCTGCCGGGGCCGCTGTTGGTGTGGCTTGCTCCTCGTCAGCGTCTACTCCGCCGGTGGAACCAACACAATTCGTTTCCAGAGACAGCCGCGGTAGCTTGTCAGCTGTGGAAGGAACAGGAATAGGAACGGATGTCGCTTCTGAGCTAACGACAACGGGCGGGCTCGAGCTCAGACCGTCGGCCTCAATACCGCACTCGAGCTCAGGCCCGCCGTATGCGCGACGGTACATGCGGTTGACGTCAGCCAGATGAGTCTCTGAGAAGCTGGAGAGTGTCGGGTATTGGCGAAGTAGCTCCCGTTTCGACAAGAGCTGCTGACGGCGGCAATGGGCTCCGCCGTGGTGCGCCTGTGCCAGGATGTAGCGGCGCAGCTCGTCGACTGCATCCTCGAGGCGGTAGTGATCGCCCGTCTGGGCGTAGCTGCATAGAGCAGCCTTGAAGGTGTAGAGGTGGTCAAGGGAGCGTAAAACAAGGCTGGGTGTATCGCTCAGTGTTGAGGTCGTCGTTGTCACGAAAAGGACTTGGTTTTGCTCTCGTGAGCGCTGGACAAGATTGAGAGGCAGTCCGAGTGCCGAGGCATCAACCGACGGGGCGAGCCAGTTGGAGCTTTTCTTGTCAGGAATTGAGGTCATAGCAGCATGGGAGGCGGTCGCAAAATTAGAAAGACTTACCCAAGATTGAATTTCCGCGCCGCCTTTTCCAGGGTGTGGCGCAGTACCCGCTTATGGGTCTGAGGTAGGTCATCAGCGTGGACCAGGCGGATGCCAAAGGATGATGGTGACGATGAGGAGATGGACGAGCTGGCCGTAGAGTGTGTAGCCGGTGTTGCCGGGGTAGCCGGGGTGGCTGGAGTGGCAGGCGTTGCCGGAGTGGCCGGCGTAGACGGAACAGATGAGGCCACAGACGCCGACGACAGTGTACGGACTGGTGAGAATGGCCATCGGCTGGAACGGCCGCTATCGCCCCAGGCGCGGGAGTTGCTTGTGTAAGAGGAGGAGGAAGTGGAGGAGAGAGAGGCTGACGAAAGAGTCGGTGAGACTGCGGCTGGGGAAGACGCATTCAATGATGAGTATGATGAGGAGGCCGAGTGTGACGAGGTCAGGCTGGGCAGTGTGTTGGACCGAACGAGGCTCTTGATGGCGGATGTGAATCGGAATGCTCCCGAGGCTGCAGGGAGCGACGACGTCGAAGACGATGTGATTGATGATAAAGACGACGTTGCTGGCAAGGATGGTAAAGCGGGCAATGGACGAGCTTGGAGAGAGGCATCTACAGATGTATATGACGTGGCCTCTGGCTGTGCAGGAATAGCTGTGGCGTAAGGAAGCTGGTATTCCCGGCGAACAACGACGAGGTCAATGACCAAAGCTTTGCGAGCAAGCCGGCGGGCCGTGTACTCGAGAGCAGCATCGAGGTGGGAGGGCAGACGGTGGGCATCAAGGACGGACTGGCCTGCCTCAAGAGGCGACGAGATGAGGTTCTTGAGAGGCATATCGGTGATTGGCTGGAGGGCGGTGAGTGTGTGGGAGAGGGTGGAGCAGAATGAAAGAAGAGGGCGATCAAGAGAAGACGATCAAGAGAACAAGGACCAGATCTACTTCTTCAAATAACCTTTGTCCAGGAAAGAAACATGTCCAGTGGTAGATGTTTTTTTTTTTTTTTTTTCAAGAACGGTTAGGCATCGTGAAGAATTTAAAGACAATGGTGAAAATGAAGGGCACACGACAGAGTCAAAGATGTGACGTTGCTAATGTTTGTGCCTTGCAGGTAAAACACTGGGGAGGAGAGAGGAAGAGACGAAGATCAAATAGGGAACGAGAAGGGGGAGGAGTAAATAAATTGAGAAAGAAGAAATGAAACAAGGCCGACCTGAAACACGGCCCCACGAAACGAAAAGGAAGGAACGAGGGAAAGGAAGGAACAAACGACGGCATGCCAAACCTCAAAATAGACTCTGCCATCACCGCGTGGGTGATAGCTTTCTGCAGCTACGGTAGCATTGCCGGGACAGCCCAAGCGGGCACATCGTCACTTGTGCTGCATGGGGTGTGATATGTTCTCTCGGGGGCAAAAAATAGAACACAGACACATGGAGATCCTCCAATCGGGACATGAAAAGGCGGGTCAGAAACATGAAACAGCCTTACGAAGAAGGGAAACAGCGAGCGAGAAGATGAGGGGATTGGCCAAGGGAAAGAACAATGGTGGTCCCTCAAGTCTGGCCGCGCTAATCGAGGCCACAGCAGAAACAATAGACCCGAACCTGAGCTTCTGAAACGAGTCGGCCGATATTGAACGTGTATCTCTTTCTTGATCTCGAAAATAGCAACAATATAAACAAGGGTTAAGATGAAATTTGTCCTGTTGCTGCCGTTCGATGGAGAGTAGAAGTACATAGCACCAATATCCAGACTTAGAAGGCACGTGTTTGGCCAAGTACGGCCGCTCTTCCTTTCAGATGCCAAGATTATACGAAATACAGAATTTATATTACTTTTCACTTACCTTCGTCGTCCATACTTTGTGGGAAACGAAGAAAAGACAAAAACGAACACAAATGCCAGTAGATGCCATTCATGTACATGCTGCAACGCGTCGCGATCCCAGCCTTCTGAGGCAGCCACGGCAAAAACAGCACGGTCAACAAATGTCACCGCTTCTCCGAGCCAAAGTGAAGACATACAAAAACGGTATCGAAATTCACGCTATTTTCTGTTCCAAAATGAGACTCAAGCCCAATGTTATGGATACACGACCTTGCCGTTTTGTGTTTTTGTCCTCTGTTGTCGGCAGTCTTTGCAAAGAGGGGATGGTTGTGCATTACATCGTCGTGGGCGCGTAAATCGCCACACCTGATTGGCTGGCCGCCTCCTGGACCCTTCCACTTTGAGCTCCCAATGGTCGCCTGTCAGTGGCCAACAGTCGACGCTTGGCCCGTGTGCCGTGCGGGTGGCCTGGTCTCTTTTTATTTTTAGATGTTGGCCTTTCGTTTCCATCATACCCTCTTTTTTCTTCGGTGGCTGTTGGACGTGGGCCGCTCTGGCGGGACGAACCCACACTTGCTCCAGGTTGAACGTAATAAAACAGAAGCGGGAATGCACGACAGACGCAACCTTTCTTTTTTTTTTTTGAAAAGCTTTTTGACAGCCAACTCCAATTGCAACGGGCCAATGACTGCCTTGTATTCTTCCTGAGCTCCCAGGCACCCCAGCTCTTGACGGATACCATGCAGGTGACGAGATGGAAGGCGCTTACCGAGGACAACGCAGTAAATAGCAAATGTACCGTCTATGAGAATTTAAAATAATGACAGGGAGCGGGTGAGGTGACGCAAATGCCTTTCGTGGAGAGTGCAGTGATGTGATGACACATCTGCGTCCCTGTTAAGAATTCAGTTCCATCACAGCCATCTGTTGAGAAGCTATTTCGGGATTCCTAAATAGTCTATTTTCGGATTATGCTCAGGATTCTCTGACAAGGACCGTAAAACAGTGGCCGTCTATTCATTTGTGCAAATAACAAACCAGATATCACGAACCAACCAACTTGCTTGTGACCTATTCTTCTTAAGAATGAGACTTTTACCTTACATTTGTTTTTAGAAAAAAATTAAAATTAAAAACACAAGCCCATGACATGGCGTAGTGTGACCTGAAATCCAGGAACAGAGACTGGACGAGACAAATTCAGCTTGCTGGTTTTGTCTTGGTTTTTTTTTTTTGGACCTGCCTGCTCTGTCGTTTTGAATTCGCAGTTCGGCTATTTTAGAACAAAGCATCCGAGCACGTGTGACAGGGCCAAAATACGGCCAGGTATGTTGTCTGGGTGTTATTTCTATAATTGTGGCATTACTATGATGCCATGCAGGAAAACATGTTTTCGCCCCTAAACGCCGCCGCTTGTCGTCAATGGTAATCGTTGAACGCGTTTCGCAATAGGCACGAAAAGGGCAGAAATAAACACAAGAGCAAAACAGACTTCTCCAGACAGAAATAAGCATCAAAGTGAGTGAAAAGTACACCCTTCAACCAAGAAATAAACGCTAAGGGGAAAAGAACAATAAGCAAGAAAACCGGGTCCAATATGCTGGAGGTCGTGACCGCCCCGTTGTGTGAAACATGCCTTCAGCTCCCGTACCTTCTCTCGCCCTGCGTGCGGTGAATAATGCCTCGGTCCAAACACCATAGAATGAGCCAGCCATGCTCTCCATGGCCCGTTTCCGTTGTCCAGTTCATTTGAAAGTCGCCAATGATCTCCGAGCAATGCAAAGAGAAACGAAGTTGCTGGGCCAAAAAAAAAAGCGGAAATGCACCAAGATTTGGTTGATCAAAGTTCGTCGCCTACGCATTCTGCGAGATTAAAACCAAAAAGAATGTGACTTGAAAAAACTCGACAAAAAGTGTAGTGGTTGAAGAATGGTTGGCATCGTATCAATGCGTATCGTACAAGAAGCGCCATGGTGGAGATTATGGCATGCTGTTGTCGGGCAATTCGCCTGCCGTCTGCATACTGGTGTCGCCGAGACTGTCTCCCGGCTCTGATGAGCAGCGTGAACTGTTCCAGTCTGGATCGTCAAAACCTCACTCGGTTAGTTTTCTATTTCAATACACCTTGTGACGCGTACTGGGGACACTGCGCAAGCATACCAGATCCGTCCTCTTCAATATCATCGACAATAAGCCCACTAAGCAAATCGGGTATCGCTGCAAGTAGTCAATATATGCGTTCTCAATCGGGATCCTTCAAGGTGACGGAATACGCACTTGTGCTGAGGTTGAGGAATTGAGCAGATAGTTCGTCCTCGGGCTCGCCATCTGCCTGCGAGTAATATGGGACACATTCAGCCATTAGTCGTTGGACGGCACCGACGACCGTACCGCCGATTGGGGCATCGCGCTGGATGAAAGCGACCTGTATGTACTGGAACATCTCGACACCAAGCCGCTTCACCGCCAACACCAGCTCTGTGGCCCGTTCCTGGCCTCCTTCGTCCTCTTCAAATTGTGGGTTCGGCCCATACGAGAAGATGTTCTCTTGCAAGAACGCCTCGACATGACTAGTAACCGACATGTCAAAGTAACACAGTAGACCGGGGACCCATATGGGAATGTAACGTAGCCCGTCGATGATTGCCTTCACATCGACCTGGCCAGTTGCAGCCGTTCTGCCATGGTAGAGACCACGCAATGTCTCAAAGAACATCCGACCCTCTCCATGCGCCACACCACGGCATTGCTCAGAGAGGTGCTTCATCATCCCACTCGCCAAGGGCTCTGATTTGGCATTTTGCAAAAATACAATCGTTGCCCGTAAGAACGGACTTTGTGGAGCGGCAGCAGCGTTGGACGAGACATTTGCTTTGAGCGTAGTGTAAATCTTAGCCTCCATGGCCGGATGCGTCGCCATCAAGTGAGCTATAATAGCTTTTGTGGCCTGTGGGTTTTGATCAATGGCAATTAACTTGTCCACAAACACATTACCAAAGTCGCGGTTCCAGTCGCGACCCATGAGAAGGTACTCAGTGCGGGACATGGGAATGTCACCTTCCGCGTCACTAATAGCCAACGAAAACCGGTTCGTATTGTCGTTGACGTACATTTCGCTCTCGGTCCGGGGTTGCGGGCGGCTTGGGTACATTCCCACCAGCAGCGTGCCGAACAGGGCAATGACATTCTCGAACGATGGGGGTCGATTTCGTCTTTGCAGCATGATAACCATTCGTGAGAATTGCTGATCCAGAGGGAAGGCAGTGTCGGCGGATATGGTCAAGATGGTGCGTCGGAAGCCTTCGAGGTCTAGGAAAATTCCTACCTCCTCGCGGCCCATACTAGCAAATGCCAACATGAAGCCAAAGACCTCGTTCCATGATCTTGATACAAGGTGGAAAGTCTCCCACAAAATTTGCATCATGTAGGCTGCACTGTGTATGATCGATGAGCTACGATGTAACTCGGTGCGTTTACCGAGTACACCAACTCCGCTCTGTTCGTCGTCGTCGGTATCCATCTCAGGCTCGTCCTCAAATGAAGTATAGCTAATGGGGAAAGCCGCTTTGATGCTCTTAAGAGACCCAATAATCAGACGGCCCATTTCAAGTCGCACTTCGGGGTCCAAACTCCGCTGCACCATCTGCTTAAGAATTTCAGGCCGGGAATCGAAGTAATCAAAGATGGCCAGCGAGCACAAGGCACACTTCTTGCCCATTGCAGAGACACCATTGAACAGTGTTTGGAAGTCGGGAGTGTCCTTAGTTCGAGATGCGACTTGGTCAAGGTGACTGAGAGCCATCTGGATGGCCAGGTTCTCCAGTCTATGGTTCGCCGAGCATTCGCCACCCGGCCTAGCAAACTGAACATGATTGAGCATCTTGCTAACAAATGGCAAGTGCTGAGGGTCGTACAACGCGTGCCGGCGCACAAGAGACGTGTTCTCGTTATGAATATGGTCGGAAAGTGCTGCTGGGATCTCGGCCTTGGACGGGCTGGACCTGCCCGACAGAGCCAACGCATCTTGCTCTCGCTTCAGCGAGGAAGACCGCTGGTAGAAGAGCATGTATGCGCTGTATACTTTTTCCGACGAGATCCCATTGTTGGCATCAACGCTGTAAAGGCTTCCGGTCCGGTCCACCGTACCTCCGAAACACATCGACTCCATCAGAGAGTGGTCCCAAGTGCTGACTATATCGTCATTGAATTCCACCCAGCTCTCGTTCTCGTTGGAAGTAGGTCGCTCACGAATGTACGAGTAGTAATGACCGGACTCTGCCGTGCCCGAATGGACTAGGACACCGACAAGTTCGAATATATCGGACGGTTGCTCTTCATCGGGATTACTGAGATGGTCAATTGTATATGGGCGCATGTCAATCTCATGGGGGAACGAGAAGCGGTCGTTAATCTTGCTGCGCTGAAGCGTTCGTAGGTTGAAGTCGAAGCGCTTGAGGTGGAAGATAAGATGATCTGGTATATCTTTCAGACATGCCCTAAATTCAGAAGCAAACAAAGAATATTAGAAACTGGCCGTGGTCATGATGAAGAAGTCGAGAGAGCGCTGGCTCACCTTTTGATGGCGTCAACATGTCGATCACAACTCGAGCAATTGTACTTGTTGTCTGTTTCCTTTGTTAGCACGTTTGCAACAGGATAAGAGATCAATTCACAACGTCAAGGTCGAGTACGTACCGCCTTCCATGATTTCACCTTCCACGTAGGCACGCAAGCTTTCCTGCAGGCTCGTCTTTCCTTTGATGTCGCACTGGATAGCTGAAAAAGGCTCAAGTCTCTCCGAGACATGCTCACACTCTTTAGAACGCACTTGCTGGACAATTTGGCCTCCAAAGAAGGACCGGAACACCTTTTTGTCCTCCTCTGACAGGAGCTGTCCTTCCCACCGATCAAAGAGGAGATTGTAGAACTCGTCCACGTCCATTTGGTTGTGGATGTCGATTGTGGTGTCATCGTATGTTTTGACACTACCGACACACATTTGCGTATCCACAAACCGCCGGATGCTGTCTTGCAAGAAGCCGAACAATATGCGAGTCTGGAAAAGCAGATTCTGCGTGTCACCTTCATCGCGCACTTCAACATTCATCATGAACTGCCGGAAAGGGACATTCATGAACAGTTGTGTGAACAAAGAGTTGAAGTAACATGTGTTGGATAGATTCCGCAAGCCAACGTAGCCGCAGGGGGCACGCAAGGCCTTTGATCGATCGAACAGTGACGGCAGCTCGTAATGGTAAGGTTCTTCATCCTCGGACTTCTCGCAAGGGACGAGTTGATCTAGATTCCGGATGATACTCGGCAGAAGGTTTGCATTGTCATCAATGAGATCAGAGATAATCTTCATCAAGAGTGCTCTCGTCTGTGAGCTGACAACAATGCGAGGATACGAGAGTTTAGAGGAGGCGGAAGATCCTTCTATGTTCGAGGCACTGCTACGCCACGGTGGGAACAGGTGCTTCCAGAAGAGTTTGTTCATGAAGCTTCTATACAAACGGCCAGCATTAGCGACAGTCGTCATTAAAAATGAACAGCAAGGCAAGGAATGAAAAACTTACGAAGGAACGGCGCCAACAATGTCAAGGTTCTGTGACGCACGGTAGATCGAACTGAACAGCCGAGACAACCCAAACATGGCATAATCGGCACACTCCGGCTGTGTGGCATCCTTCACGAGAGACACAAATAGTTAGTCACCTCCTTCTTCCCCATGAGCTCTGGTGGATTTGGTCGCGGCTCCGCGCCCATACATACCTCGGAAGTTGTGCAGGTCAGGATCAGATCGCCCATCGAACTCAACAAAGCCGGAATATCCAGTGTTGATGAATTGGCCTCAAGTAAATCACCGAATAGCTGGTCCGCCAAGTTGAAGACTCCCTCGCACTTCGTCGGCTCAAGAACAGCCTTTGGCACAATTGCCAGGACCACTGGCCAGAAAAATTCTCGGAAATCAGACGCTCCCACGGTAACTAGGGTATTTTGAGATCGAATTTTGTTGCCGATTTGAACCACTGCAAGTTGTCGAATGTCCAGACGGTCATCCAGCAAAAGAAGTTGCTCGATCAGGAAAGGTGTGTTATCGTGGGTCCGGAATGCCTCCCAAAATTCGCGGCTCAGCGCACAGGCGTTCATGATGACTTTAAAAGCCAGTCTGACAACGCGCGTCGACTCCTCTAAACAACTCTGAAACTCAGCTGACAATATTTCCATGAGACGACTCAAGAGCTTGGCGTCGAGGCTCTTGGACGCCGAGTCGTTAAGCTGCGAGCTGCTTAACGCGAAATTGAGCATTTGCAGAAGCTTCGCTTTGAGCTCAACCTGCAGGCATGCATTTGCGGATATCTCTGTGACGCTCGGATCGCAAAGCGCAGATGTCACGAGGTTGGTGACTTGGGCGAGAGCAGACTGGTAAGGTAGCGTTGGCGTTGTTGGGCTGGAAACTTCCGGCAATGTCGTGACTTGAGGCTCGTTGTTTTTTGGCGAGGAAGCATCTGCGGCGGACTCGGGCCCTTGAAGTTGGGCATCTGCCGAGTCTGGCGTCCTCATCTGAGTTTCCGTATCTTCTGACTCACACGAGCTAGAAACGACAGTCACGGCCTCAGATTCCGTTCGGTGACGAAGCACAAGATATTCGCGTAACGCGTGCAGTGTGTACAGGGATTTGTATGGCTGTCCGATGTAGAAAACATCCTTGTAGGACACACCATCTTTGTCGAACCGATGCAAAAACTCTTCGTCTATGGTGAGCTCAACAAGAAATTCTTGAATCTCACTTGCAAGCTGCTCCTCCATGCTGAGGTAGCCCCATAGTTCGTGAAAGTGCTTCAGGATCTCGGCCTCGACAGGCGAACCACCAGCATACGTCTCTTCCGTATCGTCTTCCGGGTCGACATCTCTCTTTACCAGGATGAGGCCGTTGTGGATGCGTAGTTCTTCGAGTGACCGGCAGATGTCGCCGCCCTTGGGTGCGAAAGCCTGCCCTCGATAGTACATACGGTAGTTGTCAAAGCCAGTGACTTCTTTCAGGCTCGCTAGCAGGGATGCGGCTGTGTTTTGACGGCCAATATTCAGAGGCTTAACCTCTGTCTGGCTGTCACCGTCAAACGACTGGTACTTGAGCTCTGCTGACTCGCCAGCGACACTGTTAAGTTTATCCGTGATGAATGGGCGCAGATCAGGAGTCGAGAACTGCGAGCTGGCGCGATAGAGGTGAAGGAATTCCTGCAAAACCTTGAGAGATCGGATAAACAAGAGCTTTTGCTCGTATATAAATGACGCCGATTCAGTAGGTCCCGCAAAATGGTTGTCGTCTTCAGATTTGGTCATGGCCTTTTCGGTTGTGGCATACTTCAGGTTCTTCGCCGCGGACGAGAGCTGTTCCAAGCACCGGCTCACCAGTGCTAAGTGGATCTTCCGAGACCTGTACAGCGGGAAGGCCCTGATGCACTGGCTGTCAATGTACACATCCTTGACGAGAAAGTGCGTGGCATGGCGCTCAATCGTGTTAGGCGGTGCAGTCAGAACAATGCGCCACAGCTGCTCCAGAGTGATTCGATCAATACTCTTGTCTTCATCCACAATTGCCTTGCTTTGCTGACCCTTAGTTGAAGCGACGTCAAAAAGACTGCAGGCAATATCGTTCAATAAAGGAATGAGCCGTTCGCGAAGAAAATCGAGAAGCGACTCGCAGAAACAGTCAGGCGCAAGGCCGGGCAGAAATTCGGTGAGACATTGTGTCAAGAACGGGTTGTTATCTTGTGGCCTGCCACGCCGAAGACACATGATAAAGATGTTCCAGGAGGCATTACAATCTTCTTTGCAGGCGGCCGCAGAACCCGCCATCATATCCCAAAGCCGGGCACTGAGCTCAGAGGTCAAGGTGTAGGGATGGTTGAGTACGACAGAGTAAATGATGTCGCGACGAGGCGCATTTGCTGGCCCGCTGATCACCCCGGGAATAGCAAGTGTACGTCCTTTTGCAATAGCGTCTTCAAGCTCGTCCACAATCAACTTCGTCAGGTCATGTTCGGCTGTCAAGAACGCTAAATCGCGATTTCCATAATGCCCATTTATGATCGTGATAGCACTCAGGCTGCCCAACGTAGTTCTCGATTTCTGTGTGAGATCCAGCAAGCATGTTTGGTACAGGCTCTGGCGCTGGTCGAGGTCAATCGGGACGCTGGCCAAGCACTCCCTGAGCTTGCCAATAGCGAAGCCCTGAACTTCGGGGTAAGCTACTGGGCCAGTCGCACTCGGGATGGACGATTCACGCAGCAGCTGTAGGCATACATCGAAGGGGATGATGCTATCCATGGACGCCTCAGACTCTTGTGGTGCTTTGCTGCATACATGGCGGAGGAAGACTTCACAAAGCTCGCGCATGGATGGCGTAAATGACGCGATCGGCACCTCCAAAAATCCTCGGCAAAAGTAAACCGCAGCCTCGAATGAAAACAGATTGCCAATGCGACATGCGGTCCGAATCAAAGCTTCGGAGATTCGAGGGTTTTGCGTGTTTGTCACAGTCTGCCAAAAGAGATCGGTGTGGGCGTTGGTGTACGTTCGGGTCACTGCCAAAAAGCCGATAATATTGCCACTTTCCGCCGTGATCTCGGGGTGACATGTAGGGCCTAGCATGTATGCCACGACACCGGTATTGGCGAGAACATCCGTCACATATCGTAAAACGTACTCGTCCTGCAGGTGTTCCTGAGCTTGGTCACCATATCGCCTCCAGCAACCGACCAACTCTTGACATAAATTAGTCACAGCCATGAGCCGAAGCTGCATCTGGCTGTTCTTGATTAGGCGGCAGAACATGGTGAAGCGCCACTTCATAGCAAATGCGTCTGGAATGCATTCGAGAGGCATTGGGTAGCGCTCTTCGATGCTGGTGGCAAGTCGCACAGCTTCCTGTTCGTCGACCTTGAGATTGATATAGACCAGGTCGCCAAGGGAAGCGATGCAATGACTAGCGTTGTCTTGGCTCACAGCAGTAATGTGATTCGTAATGGCGGTATCAAGAGCGGCAGAAGCAGTGTTAAAAACGTCGCGTCCCAGAGCGAGCACATCCTTCTCGGCCGCGAGGGCAAAGGGAGCATGGTCCGCACGTGCAACATTGCGATAAGCTTCGCGGGTGATACAAGCAGCTATCACACAAACCTGGGAGAAGTTCTCAATAATTTTGGGGTCGGTCGGCATAATGAGAACCTGCAGCTCCAGCAAACGGTACAAGAGGCGAAGCGTGCCGCCCCGCTCGGTTTGGTGGAAGGAGGAAAATTGTTCCAAAATAGCGGAAGTGTCATCAGACTCAAAAGCCACTTCCATCCGGTCTTCGTCCTTAAGCGAAATGTCCCGTTTGGTCAGGCTAATCAGAGCCAGCAGATAGAAGGTAGATATGTGCTCGCGTGATTGTAAATTCCCCGACGAACTGAGACGCTGTAGCAGATTGACCTCGAATTCAACAAAAAACGCGGCCAGTCGTGCAAAGGATACACAGAACGTGAAGACCTTCAATCTTGTCTCCAAATCGGCAGTCCCAAAGCCAGGCGCACGCAGGTTGGGCGTGCCCCATATTAAGTCTGGGAGAGCCAACCACAGCGAACGATGAACCGTGTATGACTCGTAGACTCGTTCAAATGGAGACGTCTTGGCAAAGAGAAGGTATTGATCGATCCAAGTTTGCAGTTGATGCGATATCGATGGATCTGGAGGGGGCAGTTAGTATATTATGCGTCGAGAGCCATGACTTGCCAAACAAAAACAATGGTGACGTACCTTGCGTGAGCGGACCCATTAAAACCATCATTATATCAGCCGGCGCATCACCATTGGTAAGATACGGAAAGTCGTCTGAGGGGTCCGGTACGATGGTGTCGAGTGGCACACCGGTCGTTTCCGAGAGCAGGGTGACATTCGGCGCCGACGGACCAAAGCCAGCGTCACCATCGTCAGAAACTATATCGACGATTTCTATTTGTGGGCTTGTAGTCCGAGAGCGGTCTGTGTCAGAAGGTTGCGTAGTTTCATTGGCTATAGGGAGAGTGGCGTTCATGGCATCGGCAGCAAGGGTAGCCCCGTCGGCTGCTTTCCGACCGTTTGGTGGTGCCATGCTGTTGTCGTTGGTGTGCTCGGCGCTTGGTCGGCCTGAGGGTGTCGGGCTCGCTGGTGGAGACGAGGGTATTGTGTCAAGTGTCCGTGGGGCTGAATTCCGCAAACTAAGCGTCACACGGGGCGAAGGGCCGGTGGTTTGACGGGTCTCAGACTCAGACCCAGGGGGTGGCAATATGTCGCCCGGGTTCTGTATGGGAGTTCTCTCGGGAGTGCGGGGAGATGAGGGAGCCGGGCCAGAGTCCATGATCATTATAGAGTCGTCGGGTTCGGCCTCGACGGCAGGCGGGGAGGAGGAAAGGTGGATTGTGTCGACTATCGGGGTCTCGTGTGGAGATTGTGCATCAGACTCGACGGATCGACTTCGAGAATCGACGTTGAGGGAGGTTCGCCGTCGCTTTCGCGAGCTCTCGTCGCCGCCTTTGAAAGGATTAGGCCGGGCGCTGCTTGCTTCGGGAGAGCCAGCACCTTCGTTCGACTCGATCTCGGGGGATCTGGATTCGCGTTCCATCTGGCTCAAAAGACGAGATCAAAGAGAGGAGCGCGTCTCTTGAGCTGCTTGAGCAGAACGGGTAAGGGCTCCGCAAGCTGACTTTTGCGAAAGTGGGCTCTGCTGGGGGTTGGTTTGCCTTGTCTGTCGTCATTCGAAGAACCGTTAGTACAATAAAACAAAAAAAAAGCCAAAAAAACAGCTGCAAGAAAATGGAAAGAGGTAGTTTCACTGACGTTGCTTGATGAGGCCCTTGTCGACCCGCTTCGGTCCGCTCGTCTCTTAGCTGTGGAATGGGAAGCGCTTTTCCTCCTTCGGTCAGCTTCTCGTCTTCACTTCACGCGCTCTCGCTCTCAACACGAGTACATCCGCAGTGCAAGACGCGACATAGGTGCCAGGGCGCCCCGTTCGGCAGGTGTGTATTGATTCCGGAGGCAGGCTATCAATTGTGGCGAAAAGCAGTGGTGATGAGGAATGAAAGAGACGCGAGGCTGTTGCTTTCTGCTCGGCGGCAAGGCAGACTTGGGAAGAAGCGCTAGAAAGAGGGGATAAAGAAAGCGGCGATAACGGTGAAGACGGGAAGATTGAGGATAAACGAGAAAACGAAACGGCTTCACGACTGCAATACAAGAATGTGTGAGGACAGGATGGAGGAAGGTTCGGTTCGGACGGAGAAGCAGGATTAGTACATGTGACGGTTGGATTCGGAGTTGAGTGGATGTCGAACAAAAAAAAGTTGGTGAGTGGAAGGAAGAAGAGGTTGTCGAGGCTGCAGTGTTTAGAGACAGCTTAGTGCAGGAGTGACGCGAGCTGGGCAAGAACGACGGAGCACTATCACCAGCAAGCAATAGGCAACACAGCAAGCAGGTGCAGGAAACGGGATGGTGGAAGGATGCGGGGCACACTTGCCTTAACGTGGTTTGTGAATATGTACTTCCTACCCTGACCAATTTGTCAAGGAAGACCAAGTACTTGCAGCTACATGCTATGACGCGGATCCCTCTTATCAATAACAGGCTCGGATAGGGTCAGTGAGGGGGAGCTTCTAGCGCAAGATTAGATACCAAAACGCCAAATTGGGGCAACGCAACAGTGGGAAAACAGGGGCGCACCTGCCAGGGAATGCGACCATCGACAAGGTGCTCTGGGGTGGTCATGCCCGCTATGTCGGCAAACTATACAGCGACGTACGAGACACTTCTGCGCGTGGGCTGGCTGGCGGGTCATCCAAATCCGGCGGCGCACATCATCGAGCAACAATGGAAGGGATGAAAAGACAGGGGTGAGAGCCAATACAGGGGCGTACAAGTCTTCAAAATACACATAAACAAATGTAGATTTGATGACACGGAATAGGAAAAAAGAAACAAAGCGGTTCGGATGGAGAGCGAGGAAAGGAGAAGAGGACACTTCGAGAGAGGTAGAGCACAGAGGTCTCTTCTGAGGCAAATACACCTCTTGAAAAATACATCTTGTCGCTCAGCCCCAATGATGAATATGGACGGTGACTCTAGTCTATTTACTAGCAAAGCTCACATGCAGTTACGTTCAGCCTTGGAAGTCGGAACAATGACGGCTAGTGTTTTGGGGTTTCTTGTCGTGAATGTTTGTAAAATGGGATATGCAACAGAAAAATGAACGACAGAAAAGCCTGTGCGTTATTAGTCCGCCAGTTAGCGAAAAACGGCCAGGAAATTGGAGAGGAAACCACAGACGAAAGAGATGCGATAGATGTTAGGATGATATAAAGGCTGCCCGACAGGAAAAGAGCTGAGCGTCGTCACATGACATCACATGGGAATGAGCAGCACTCGCTTGGGGGCACAAGAAGCTGAAGCACCGGAAGTTTATGTATTACACATTATTCTATCCAATGATGGACAGGACCCCTGCCCCGAGCCAAAAAAAAAAAAAAAAAAAAAAAAAAGGAAAACGAAAGGAAAGGAAAAAAGAAGAAGGGGGAAAATGGGAAAGGTATACAACAAGTCTGAAAAGGGTAAAATTGGGAAGGGAAGGAACGACTACGTCGTCAGGTCGGTTTGGAAGTTCTCTCTGGGAAGATCGCCAAAAAAAACTTGACCCACAACTTTCCACCTGAAGGCAGCGTCTTGGCATGAACTTGGGGCAGGACCTTGTTCATCAAGCGCTAGATGGATTGGCAAGCTGCTCTCTTTTGCTGGTCCTCTTTTTCTTTCTAGAAGCCCCCGAGCGACACAACCATTGGCACGGAGGCGCAGCCAAAACAAGCCAATGACCGGCGTGAAAAATGTTGCGACTACGGCCAATGATTGATCTTACAAGCATAGCACACAGCATCGGGTTTGAAAAGCAAAGCATCCTGCGTGTATCACAGCGCGAGAGACAACGTTTGCAAACAAGTAATTACCTTCTCCGAACCCAAGTCGCCGTGTACTTGCTGCTCAACGCGTCAAACCGTCATTTAAATACACGAATCCACCCCAATTTGGCCATGAGCCGGCGAAAGATCCCAGAGCTGGACACGCCCTTCTCCAGTGTTGAATGGTAGACAGCCCTTTCTCTGCTTTCTAGCTTGCGTGGACACTCTTCAATAATGCTTACCGTAAGCGTAGGCCCATGATATCCCAAGAAGATCAGGATACAATTCTCGAACTCCTTTGCTCGTACGTATTCGCCAGCTCACCTCACTGCCCGCTTCCATTCGGATTGGATTTGCTAACGACGGCTTTGTTCATAAAGCCTTCTTGCACCGCTTGGCCAACACCGTCACGACCATGTTGAGCCGTCTCGGGGCAAACGCAGCCGGAGACGATCCCGGCAACGCTCCAAAGAGAACGGCGGCGGCGGTAAGGCAGACGGAGGCGCCTTCTTGAAAGAGGAAGGAAGAGTAAAGACTGTGGGAAAACCAGAAACCAAGGAGCCCAAGGGCGACGTCCCGCCCTTTCCTGAGCTGGTACGATTTGTCGATGTCGGGCTGGTCAGCATTACGCGGGAGCTGGCCAAAAATGCCACACCAGGCGCCCCTGTCCCCATTACCAACGTCGATCCAAAAGCAACACCGTCGATTCCATCGACATCCCCATCCTCATCCACACCATCCTCCCCGTCCCAATCACCCACTCCATACACAGCTGTCTTTATTGTCCGATCCGGCCATCCGTCGGCATTCTACTCGCACTTCCCACAGATGGTGGCTGTGGCCTCGCAGCAAGGAGCGGCGTCGGTGCCGCCGTCTCCGCCAATCCGTCTAGTCGGATTCTCTCGCGCAGTCGAGGACCGCCTCAGTGCCAGTCTAGGTATTCCGCGGGTGTCTAGCATTGCCCTCCGAGAAGGGGCGCCACAGTCGCAAGGTCTTCTCAGCTTTTTAGAGGAGACAGTCCCAGCTGTCGATGTTCGCTGGTTGAAAGAAGCACAGGCCGGACAATACCGCGAGACACAGATTCGGATGACCGAAGTCAGCGTCGGTCCCAAGCGGAAGAAGAAGGTATAGAGTTTTCGATCGTACGGGAGTAGGAGGATCAAGGAGTCGAGCAGCGTTGGGCAGTCTTGTAACTGTTGCTTTCTTTCGTCAGCCATGCGCAAAATAACAGCGTTTTGCTTTTTGTGTTTCCAAATCCATTTGAGGTGCTTCCCAACGACCTTTTCTCCTTTCTAGGATCTGTTTGGTTTTAAAAAGGCGCTCATTGCCCATTTGTCTCCCCTCTGTGGCCAAACGTGAGAAACAACTTACACCAACATTCGCGCCCGATTTCGACGGTTCAAGGAGTGCCTTGTGATTTTTTTGACAACACGTTTCTTGTCCATCTTTGATGTTTATTTTCTCTCCTTATCGAGACAAGATGCAGTCTTTCCGTCGCAAGAGCACAAAACTGGGCGAAAGGACAACCAAAGCACAGATGAAAATACTCTGGGAATCTCCCGGTAGGGCAAGTGCGCGTAACCGCCATCCACAGAGGGGCGATTTGTCCACCATGGCCTATGATTCCCCATATTAGCTGCGTCAAATACCAGAACAACGTCGCCTCGAGGCTCTTACGAAGTCTAGCTACCCCTTTCCAATACGTGACTTTCATGGTCTTCTGGACTTTTGAATATCAGGGGCTGCGGAAGACGGTGCATCCACGATCTCAGTCCTTGGCTCCTTCCTTCCATTGCCCACGTAGCCCTTTGCGACCACGTACCAGTCTACCTCGCTCTTTCCCTCCTGGGAAAATAAGTCGAAATAGGAAGTACCTGCGAATCTCTCGGCGTGACTTCTCTGTTTATTTATTTAAAGATTTTTTTTCTCGTTGCTTCACTAGCTTGTTTCTGTACGGTTCCTTTGGCTTTGTTTTGTGTTTGTCAATACAGGTCCAACAGAAGCGCCTTCATTCACCACAAAGTTGCTTTGCTTCTTCCTGGTCCTCGGAGGTCTCTTACTCCTTCAGATTTTCTTTGCTGTTCGTCTCTTCTTTGGTTCCCGCTGAGTGGCTGCTGCAGCCCGACTGTTCCTTTCATAAGCATCCACCAGAAGAAGCAAAATGGGTGACGGCGGTTTCACCAAGGAGCAGCTGGCCATGGCCAAGCAGCTGCAAGCCGGCTACTGCTCTAGCGGCACGTTCAAGGCCCCTATGGTGACCAGTCGTCCGGCTCCTCACCAGCAGGCCGGCCGCTCGTCCACCGCGCCGGCCGTTCGTATGCCTCCGTCATCACAGACGACTCGGTCGCAGCCCGGATCAGTGCTTCGTTCGAGCAATGGCCTGGTTCGTCCTCTGCCGTCAGGAGGTGAGTGGTTTCATGATCACCTTGTCATTCCTTTACGATCACCTGGCCATTACTTATTAGGCATTGCCAAATTTGGTGGGCCGTTTCTTTCTGCCCCCTTCTTCAATCACTTCCCAGGTCACCAGACCCAACCCAATTGTCTGAGGACCTTCCACAGTGCAACCCTATATAAAACCTACTCCTTCCGTTGTTTATGATCCCCGTCTATGTTCTGACAGCATTGCAACTTCCCAAGGACATACTTTTACCCCTACTCCTGTTGCCCGTATTGCACCCAGCCAGGCCCAAAAGCCTGTTCCTAAGTCAACGCCAGTTCCAGCCAACCCGACCCAAAAGAAGAAAACGGTGCAAAAAAGCACTCAGCCCGCCGTTAAGCCTACTCCCGTTACGCAGAAAGCGGCTCTCGAGAGCCCGACGCAGTCTACTACTGCTAAGCCAGCAAGCCGGGTCCCTTCTCAGCCGACTATCAATCCAGCTACTAGCCCGCCTATTGCCCAATCTGTCTACCAACCTGTCACCCATAGACCTAACCCCCTCCACAACGTTCAAGATCAGGATCTTCTGTCCATGGAGCCCCTACCAATAATTTCTACTCCGACTCTTGTCGCTACACCGGTCTCCCAGGATACTGAAATGGCGAACAGTGGCATGTCTGCAGGCCCTCAAAAGGTCACTGTTGCCAACGCGGCATCTACCGGCTCAACGGCCCCGAGCGTAGACCTTGTTGTCAACGCTCCTGCGGCTGTTCGTGAGGCTATCAAGATCAACATGATGGGGAAGCCTGTTTTGTGGAACTATATGACAGAAGCTCCCACTGTCCGTGAGCTGAGCGAGGCAGAAAAAGAGGGTCTCAGTGCCCTGCCTCCTCCCTGCCCTGCAGACAAGCGTCCCTGGATCCGTGCCTGGCATCCGAACCAACCACTACGGGTTGGATCGAACGGCGAGGTGGTTGACGAAGAGTTCGTACATATGATCTGTTAATAATCCACTATGTTCTTCACGACGTTCTCAATGCTGACAGCTATTATAGGGCCCCAGCCTCAACTCGACCTGTCGTTGGCCTAAAAGGCTCTCGCCATGCTTAAGCAGATGCATCCTAATTTTGTCGGAATGGCTGTTCTCTGCATACAAAGATATAATGGCACAGAATAAAGGTAAGTTGGCCGCAGTAGCCAGGATACCAGGGGCGGTATGAGTAAAGATAGAAGGGTGACTTCCCAGAAGTGTTGAACGGCGATTATCAGGGCAAAAGTCAGTTTATTTGTTGTGTACCTAGCTCGCGGTGTCTCAATCCGTGCCGATCAGTGGTACCAAGTGAAAGAGACAGTTTATACTCATCGTGTACGCTGTCTTTGTCATATGGTTTATTATATATCGTCACAGGCAGATCTATCAAGATTTGTCACATATAGGACTTGCCACCGCAAGAGCTAATAGATGGTCAACGGAATATCAGAAACATTTTACCAAGGTCAATCTAAACATCGTGTAAACGGCTATTGGTCAATTTGGGAAGGAAGGGAGACGACAGGCGATTGTTCTATTAACGAGGTAATTTGTTAGGGTTCGATCGGGCGGTTATATTCGGGCAGCTTGTGTTTGCTTTGATTTTAAGCTGACGCCGGAAATGTCGCTAAACACGCGTGTTTCCTTGCTGAGTCAAGCAGTAGAAGATCCCAGCTCGTTTGCATCTTTGAAAGAGAAGTCGTACTTGAATTTTAATAATAATGGATTGTATTCTATCCTATGCTTTGAAATGCAAATAAATGTCCATGCCATGGGCCCCAGTTTTGCTTCGCCGACTCCGATGTGGTTTTAATATCAAAATGACACAAAGAAAATAAAAGGAGTGATATAACAAAGAAGGGCAATAAAAAAGCAGCATGTAGGAAAGCAACCTTCCCTACAAACAATGTGGCAGACACGTTTTGTACAAACACAAACTCCCCTCCTCGTCATAATTTACTGGAGCATGGCATCCAGACTCTCGCCAAGCACCTCCTCGATCTTGTGGATCCACTTCGTCGTCTCGCGGTCGATCGCCTCGTCGCTGTCCTCCTGCAGCTCGCTGATCAAAGGCAGCATCTCGGGTAGCATCGCCAGCCACTCCTCGCCCACCTCCTCAGCCAACACCTGTTGGCACTGCACCAGTGCCAAGCGCTCGGCTGTGTTAGTCGAGTGCTGAAGACGCTTCAGGAGCAGGCTGTTGAGCTCCTTTTGGTGGTCCGCCGCATGGGCAGCCTTGGCCAGCTCCACAACTGCGGGCACCAAGTACTCGACGGTGAGACCCGGCGCGCCGTTGTTGTGAAGATCCTTGGCTTTGGCAAACTGTTCGACTAGAGCCGGCGCCACAGCCGAGAAGTGAGTCGGCACCTGCCAGAAGCCGCCGCCGCTGCCATGACCGTTGGCGGTGCCGTCGGCGTTGGAATTGTCGCTGTTGCCCTCATCGTACTTGAACGCGGCCGTCAGGGTCTGCAGAATGCGGGACCAGAGGGCACGGTCCTCCAGGCTAGTTCCGATGCGGGCAGCCCGCAGCGCCGCAGCCGCACCGTCGACCACGTAGGCGGCGTAGGACGTGACAGCCGACTTCAGGCGGTCGAAGAACAGGAACAGGAATCCGTAGACGCTCTGCTGGCGCAGGCAGCGGCCCAGGACGTCCAGTTGTGGCAGGCCGTGGTCGCACCACTGCATAAGGTCTTCGAACACAGGGCGGAAGGCACTGTCGTTGAGCTTGAAGACCATGTGCAGGGCAGCCGTGTTGACAGCCGCCTCGATCTCGACCAGGCGCTTCTCATTGGCCTGGCCCGACTTCGCCGTCTTCCCCGTGGCCTTTGCCGGCGCCGCAGCCAGGATTTGGCCACTAACACGCGACTCGCGACGAAGGTCAAAGGCATTCTGGAGAATGACAGAGAGCACCGGCAGGTTCTTTACAATCGACGACTTGCCGTGCTTGTCGATGACGGCCGTCAAGACCTGTACAAACTCTAGCGTGGCCTGTGCACAAGCACACACAAATACGTTAGCATCGATAGACTTTGAAACAGAGGATGGGGGAACAAAGAGGCAACGTACCGACTGGCCAGCCCGCACAGCGATGGGCCAGTTGCGACGGAGGACATCCAGCATGGTCTTTGGCTCGACCTGTTTTGCGAGCAGCAGCAGGCAGGTCAGACGGGTCGTGTTGGCTTCGTTGTCCTCGTCGTCCTCAAGACCCGCTTCGGCCGATGCAAACGAGGTCACAACCAGCTTGTCGAGGTTGGCGCTCGTGATCATGAATGGCAGATGCTGGGCCAGCGCCATCATCAGCGCATAGGCAGCATTGTGTAGCGCAATGTTTTCAGGGTCAGTCGCTCTACCCTCCAAGCTCTCTTTGAGGTAGCTCAGCGCACGAGGAATAGCCGTGGGCAAGATTGGAACGATAGCGTCGTGCAGCACGTCCACAAGCGAGGCAAGGCACAGCAGAGCCATGACACGCAGGCGCGGGTCGGCCTGACCAAGGCAGGCATCACCGGCAATGGCCGCGGCGGCAGCAGTGACAGCCTCGAGATCGCGGGATCCGTACTTCTCCGCAATCTTGTCAACGCACGTAATTGCGGTATGCTTGTAGGCAATGTCGCTCGAGTCTCGGATCACGGCGGTCAACTGCGGCAGGAAGGCAAGGAGTGCCACGCGCGACTGGACGCTAGCAACACGCTCCTCGTCGACACGGACCTCAAGCGCACGCAGCACCTTTTGGCGCACGCTCATGTTGGGGCGGTCCAGCAGGACCTCCACGGCCTTGATGAACTCGCCAATAGACTGCAGGTTGAGCAGCTGTGCCAGAGCATCACCGCACCGGTTGTGCAGGGCCTGCTTCTTACCAGCGCTGCCATGGGTTTTGACGGTGTCGGCGAGGGTAAGAATGTCCTCGAGCAGCTGGATGTACAGCTCGCGAATCTTGGCCGATTCCATGTCGTCATCAGCCTCCTCGAGGCGCGAGATGCCATCCTTGAGACGACGGTTAGACAGCAGCTGGGGCAGCAGCGTCAACTCCTTCACAGCGGACTTTTGCAGGTCGACCTGGCCGTCGTCTTCCCGTTTGCCGAGAAGCGTCGCAGACAGGCTGGGCTTGGGCTTGAAAATATCGCCCACCAGCGAGACGAACTTGGTCAGCGACTGCAGTTGGATCTCGACCGGGAATGAGCCGATGAGCTCGGTCAAGAAGGCACACGTGCTGTCGGCAGTGCCATAGCGGTCGGCAAACATGGCGAGAATGGCAAACAAAAAGTCGTTGGGGCCCAGGTTCTCGATCAGCGAAGTAAACAGGTCGTGTTTGCGGTGCGACGGAATGTGCTCGTACGCAATGACGAAGCTGGACAGCAGGTCCGAAGCGCTTACCACGATGTTGCGCTTGCCCTTCTTGAAGGTGTCGATGAGCGGCGGGATAACCTCCTTGATGGTCTGGTTCACCACGTGGGCGGAGTAGTCGTCGCTTTGGCGCAGCACAGAGGTGCCCATCAGCGTAAAGATGGGCATCACGCTGTGCAAAACGACGTCGGGCGCCGTCTTGGCCAGGCTGGCCACCAGCAGCAGCGCTGTGTTCTGGACAGCGGGGCTTGAGGACTTGTGGATGCAGTTGACCAATACGTCGCCGTGGCCGACGGTCGTATCAATCTTGAGGTTCTTGTGGCTCTGATAGACAGGCATCATGGCCAGCAGGCAGCTGAGAACCACATTCTGCAGGTAGCCGAGCTCAGAGCCAACGTACGAGCGCAGGATCTGAAGGTCCGAGAGAACGACGAAGAGGCCGGGAAGCAGCTCAGGGTGCTCGGCGGGCTTCGAGGCCTGGACGAGCTGGAGGATAAAAGTAGCACGGTTCACCAGGAGACGGAGATCGCTATTGGCTTGGATCCGCTGGCCACGGTTGTGCTCGGAAGAGCTCGTCCTGCGTCTCTTATTAGGAGGCGCGTCGGTGGCCATCTTTGCGCTCTGCTGCAGCGTCTCCAAAAAGCTAGTCAGAATCTGTGTGCTTAGCTCAACGTTAAACAGCAAGTCGGTGGCCTCCTCGGCGGCAATATCCAGATCATCCGACGACGTGCCAGCTGCCGGCGGCTTTTGCACCTGCTCCAACATAAACTGCGCAATCACGTTCCGGAAGTCCTCCTTCATGACTGGCCACATCTTGCGAATTCTCTTGAAGACGCAGCTGATCAGGTTCGGCCGAGTGTGGCCCTTGGTGTTCTGGATGATACTAAACAGGGTCTCCAGGGCGGAGGTGTCGTTGGGGATGACGACATCCACGCTTCGACTATCGACAACAGACTCGTCCAGCGCCTCCTTTGCGACAAGGGCAGAAGCCTCCTCGGCGCTGAGAGCGGCCCAGCTGTTCAGCAGGGGGAGGAGGACCTGCGTACGAGTCGTGCCAGAAACGCCGCGCACCTCGTTGAGCGCCTTGAGCAAACGGATCTTAATGTTGATGACAGGTGTAAGGACAGCGTGGCCAGCGAGGAACTGTAGAATCGACAACCGCAGACCATGTGAGAGCCGAACCTGCTCGCCGCCACTGCCTGATACGTCCGCCTTGCTCGACTTGTCGAGGACGTCAGCAAGCACAGCCGGGACGTGATCTTCGTGGAGAATGGCCTCCTCAGCCGAGCCAAGGAGAACGTCAAGCAGGCTGGCTCTCGCGTCAAACGTCAGCCAAGACAGGTCGGCCTGCTCGGCGTACAGCTCCGTAGCACCCCAGCGGTTCTTGCCCGTCGTGCTCTTGGTCTCCTTCAGCGGCGAAACCCGCTTCACCTCGGCGAGAAATCCAGCGGCAGCGCGGCGGACCTTCTTGGCCGGATCGCTCAGAGCGGCGATGATATACGGCAGGACCGCCTGGAAGTCGACACCGAAGCAGTCGTCCAGGCGCAGGCGCGCAGCGGCCATGTCGAGGGCGGCTACGCGTGCGAGTGTCGGGTAGGGTCCAGACCAGATGCGGATGAGGAATGTGAAGTAAAAGTGGTCGGACACGGCGTCGGCACGACCGAGCAGGGGTGCGGCATCCAGCTTCTCGAGCTCGGCCTTGTCGTAGGATGCCGTCGCCAGGAAGAGCTGGCAGAACTGCTCAAACACGCCGTTCGGGTCCTGGGCGAGACAGGAAGACGGGCGCGTCAGAGTGGACAAGCGCCCGAGCGTTGCATCGAGGTCTTCCTTTGTGATGGAAGTGCGCGTCTCCTCAGCACCATCAGCCATTGCCGTGTCGGTGTCGTTGGTGGCAGTGGAGTCAAGCAGCAGCTTGGGCCGAATCGTGGCATCCAGCTTTAGCTCCAGCTCTTCAATGTCGAAATCGACCTCCTCGATGACCTTGCGGATGACAAGGCCACCGGCATTCTCGGGCGCCTGTGACAGGACAATCAGCGTCGCGCCCAGCTCTTTCCGGACGCTGCCGTCGGGGTCCGTCTCGTCGGTGATGTCGTGGGCCGCCAGAAGCAGCGACTTGAAGGCGACAACAAGCTGCTTATCCTGCAAGATGCCGCCAAGAATAATCGATTTGATAATGGGAAGGCCGCGCACAGCGGCTTTCTTGGCCAGGCGGTCCGTCAGGGCAAGGACCAGGCCGTTGGCCAGCTTGTCGATGCGCCGCTGCTTGCCAATCTCCACAAGCAGATGGGGCAGGTTCTGCACCTTGAGCACAGCTTTTGCCACCTTGCGGGACAGCTGCTTCGCCGAACGCTGCTGGGCGAGGATCGACAGACAGACGAGGCCGGGCTTGGCCGTCTCGGAGGTCCATCCCATGACAACCTGCTCCATAAACGCAGTGATGGCCAAGTCGGCCACCTGTGCCTTAGACACAAAAACGGATACAGCCATGTAGGCAGCGATTTGGACACCGGGCGCCTCCCGGATCATGAGAGCATCACCGAGAACGGGGCCAACCTTTTGCAGGACGGACTGGTCGTTGTCCGCCTGGACGCTTCTGCGGCCCGACCTGAGGGTGTCCAGCATGCCGTTGATGGACTCGGTCATGACGCCGCCCCAGAAGGTGATAAGGCCCGGGTAGTGCTGCTGTGCGTGGCAGGCCGCAAGGGTGTACGAGGACAATGTGGTGAGGAAGTCGAAGCGGTGGGTTGCGTGTTGCACAATGGCAGCGCGGGGCAGGGCCGTCAGAGAGCGGATGTAGGGGCTCAGGAAGCGGTACTCGTATGGCAAATTTGTGGGCAGGATGGACATGAGTGTCACAAACGCAGGGATGGAATGGTAAGGGAGGAATGTTGTGATGAGTGTCGATGTGTTGAACTCGTGAATGCTGCAAACATGTTAGCGGACGGCTGCAGCCACCTTCGGTTTCGGGAGATGCATTTGCACATGCAACGTACCGGAATCTCCGAATCAGCCACTCAATCGACTTGATCGCCGGCAGAAGCCGTAGTCTGCTGCCACTGAGACGCAAAAAGGACTCTATCTTGCGGTCCAGCTCCTTGTTCTCGGCCTCGTCCATCATGGTCCGGTCCTCGTCCTGGCTCAGCTCGCTGAAGAGAGTGTTGCCGAAAGGGACGAAGCGCTCGTCCAGCTGGCACAGCTCGTCGAAGCCATCGCGGCAGATAACGTATACGGACTGGAAGCTCTGGGAAGCGGCGACACGCGGTTCAAACAGTAGTGACTTGGAATGGGCGGCTTTTTGCGCCTTGACGTCGAGCGAGATCTTGGACTTGGCGGCGATCTGCGCCAGTTGCGCCGCGAGAGACGACGCCATTGTGGCCGTTCCTCCCCGATGCGATGCTGTGTATCGCGCGTAATGTAGAGGGCCAGCGGACGGCCTGTCGTGGAGGGGGTGGTTGGGTGAGGGTAGTGATGCGTGGCGAGCTGCAGCGTCGTCGTCTCGCAAGTCGTGCTGGGGAGAGGATCTGAGGACGGTCGCTCTTTCCCACAGTCGTGATTTTTTTCTTAGCCAAAACTTTTCTTTCTTTCCTTCTTGTTTGGAGCGCCGTAAACTTTTTATTGCGGGTCTGATAAGCAGCTTTGTCCAGTAGAATCGCTCTGATAGGTGCAGACCCACCTGAAACTACCACCGCAAGGCTCCAACAGTGAATTTAGACACTTTAAGGTATATTATCTTCCATCGGTATCGACGATGATCATACCAAATGTCAGTCATATTAATTGAACCCCCTCTCCCTTCAATTAAGTTTACGAGACTTAAGTGAAAAAAAGAAGAAAAAAAACTGAATTAAATTTAGAACATGTCTAGCTGCGCAAACCTCCGGATCTTTTGGACAAATTTCAACCTTATAGAGCCTACAATACACCTTCCGACAGGCCTGAATCAGGCACAAAATCAGATCCGGAATACCAGCTATTGCTCTAGTGAAATCCAGATTAAATTTACGATTACAGATATCATAGCAAAATAAAAATAATGAAATGAAAAGAAACGTAAAGAAAAAGAAACCTTGCGAATATGAAGACCTTGCCCACAACCAAAATTGAAAATGCTAATGACACAGAAGGCGGTGAAGCTACTCACGTACTGTATCAAGAGCGCTAGTCCTAATCGGTCGCTTCTGCCTTTCTGCCGGTCTTTGCTGCCAATTTTTCTGCAGCCACTAAATTTTTTACTGAGAGTAACGGCCTCTCATCGTTGCACGCAGAGTACGAGGTCAAGAATTGTTTCTGGTCACTTCCAACCCCCCTCGTTTTCGCCGCTCGCCCAACTCCCGGTGGTAGATGACAGACTATCCTGCAATGGACTCACGAGGCCCCAAGAGACGAAGGGTCAGCCCGGCCCGCGCTGGTGGCGGAGACGGCGCAGGGAAAGGCATCGACAAGTCGTACCTCAAAAACGCCGCCAACTGGAGTCTAGAGGAGAACTATGCCGAGCGGTCTCGGAAACGGAGCAAGAAGGCGGAAAAGGCGGAAAAAGCTAGCGACCGGCTGCCGATCCGGACGGCCGACGGCATGATACGACCCCTCGCACGTGAGCCCACAGACAACGATGCGACCAGCGACGATGAAGATCCGTTTGCGGACAGCGGCGACGATGTGAAGACAGAGGCCGGCAAGGCCAACGGCAAGAATGACGGATCGGGCGCACGGAAGGCGGCGGCACGGATACAAGAACAGAATGCACGGCTGCCCGAGCGGCAGCAGATACAAAATGCCAAGGAAGAGCTGGCCAAGCTTGCTCTGAAGCTGAACGAGAACCCAGAGGAGAACGGCGGCGCATTCAAGGCGCTGGCTCAGGTCTCGCAACAGTACACATCGATTGCCGTGCAGAAAATGTGTCTCGCTACGCAGTTGTCTGTGTACAAGGACGTGATTCCAGGCTACCGCATACGCGCGTTTGGCGAGGAGCCACCAACCGGCGAAAAGCTGTCGTCGGATGTGCGCCGCATCCGGGCGTACGAGCAGAGTCTGCTGGCTGGCTACCAGGGCTACCTGCGGGAGCTGATGCGCCTGTCTAAGCTGCGGCCAAGCGATGCCGCCAACAAGAACGGCGCCGGCAAGCGCTCCAAAGCCGCGAAGAACGCCAACAGCCTTGCGGACGCTGCGCTGGCTTGCGCCTGCTCGCTGCTCAACGCGGTGGCACACTTCAACTTCCGCGAGGACCTGCTCAAGATCATTGTGGGCAAGCTCAGCACACGCCGCGTGGACGCGTCGTTTGTCAAGTGCCGCCTCGCACTCGAGACATTGTTCCGCGAGGACGACGAGGGCCGGCCATCGATGGAGGCCGTGGCCATGCTGTCCAAGATGATGAAGGCCCGCGACTACTGGGTCGATGAGAGTGTCCCCAACACGTTTTTGCACCTGCGGCTGCTCTCCGAGTTCTCTGGCAAGGGCTCGCAGGACAGCGTGGAGCGCGCGTCCGACGAGACGAAGCGCAAGGAGAAGAGGGAGTTCCGGACAAAGCGCACGCGCAAGTTGATGAAGGAGCAAAAGGCGCTGGACCGCGACATGGCGCAGGCGGATGCGCTTGTGGCACACGAGGAGCGCGAGCGCATGCAGTCGGAGACGCTGAAACTCGTCTTTGCCACCTACTTCCGCATCCTGAAGCTGCGCACACCGCACCTGATGGGTGCAATTCTCGAGGGCCTGGCCAAGTATGCGCACTTGATCAACCAGAACTTCTTTGGCGACGTGCTGGAAGCACTCAAGGATCTGATCCGCTACAGCGAAGAGGATGCTGCCCGCGAGGCGCGGACTGTGGAAGGCGAGGAGGATGAGGCCGCGAATGGCGGTGCAGACGACGAGGACGACTTTGCCGTCTCCCGCAACCCCAGCCGCGAAGCGCTTCTGTGCACGGTGACGGCCTACGCGCTGCTCGCCGGCCAAGACGCACACAACGCCGCCAGCGACCTGCACCTCGACCTCTCCTTTTTCACGACAAACCTCTTCCGCAGCCTTTATCCGCTTGCCCTGTCGGCTGACATTGAGAAACATGCCAACTCGCTACAGCAGCGCCTTGCCGATGCACACGACGCGGCTTCCTCGGAGACGGCCGCGGCCGCGGCGGCTGCGGCCCTGAACCAGAAGAACGGCGTCAAGGTCAACTTGCAGACAACCACGGTCCTTCTGATCCGTTGTTTGACTGCGGTCCTGCTGCCGCACTACAACATCCGGTCGGTGCCGCCCTTGCGGCTCGCCGCCTTCACCAAGCAGCTCATGGCAGCGTCGCTGCACGTGCCCGAAAAGTCCAGCCAGGCGCTGCTGGCGCTTCTCTACGACGTGGCGCACACGCACAGCAAGAAGATTAGCGCGTTGTGGAACACAGAGGAGCGCAAAGGCGACGGATCCTTCAACCCGCTGAGCGAGACGGTCGAGGGCAGCAACCCGTTCGCAGCGACGGTGTGGGAGGGCGAGCTGCTGCGGCGGCACTACTGCCCAAAGGTGCGCGAGGGTATCAAGGCTCTGGAGAAGAACTTGACGATATAAGGAAGACGCCAGGCAACTCTGGATGCATCAAATCCCGGCGAGCATTCGATTTATTTTTGAAAATATAAATGCTCTTTTCCTTCGTTAATTTCAAAGGTCGATGCTGTCAGGCGTTCTATCATGCGCTTTACTTTGTTCTTACCAACGTGCGCATGCGTACGAAAGAAGGGCCTATTGTTTACTTTGTTTGGCTCGCATGTATGAGAAGATCTTACGATTGGCGCTGTTTATCGGCAATGGTTAACCAACACTGGAGTCAACCAACATCTCGTCCAAGAAACAAATGAAACTCGAGTGCAGCGAAGAGCGACAAACGCTATAGAAAGAACAAATTTGACGAACGCATAAACACAAGAGTCGGCATGTCCGTCGCTCATCGTCTGTTTGTTCTTCTTTTCCTTTTCTATTAGCCACGAGGGCATAATATCGGATCTTATGACTATGAAGTGGATGCGAGGGCCTTGGATGGATTCCGAAGGGAAACCGGAATGGTTAAAACGACAGGCCTAGGTAGACAAGCTGGATAGCAAGAGGCGATGGCTATCATTCATGCGAATGGCCGGACGGGAATTGATGTACAAAGTCAACGGTAACATAAGCAAGAAAACGAGGGCAGGCAGACAATAGAGGGAGCAATAGAGAAATAGTTGCCACCGGGCATGGGCCGTTGCATGATTTGACATTGCTGAATCGTCGGTTTTTTACCCCAGCCTTGTCCGGTGATGCTCTTTCAAGAGCATTGAAGAAGATCAGAAGATCCATCTTGCATTTTGTTTTCTCGTGTCCTTTGGAAGAGAAACGGCGGACCGTGACAAATTTTCTTTAAAATGATGCACATATATGTTCCTAATACGCCATTCATGATAGAGAAGCAAAGTAAAGACAGGTCAAAAGACCGCAAATAAAGAAAGCAGTTTGCGTCGTCAATGATGTTTATATCCTATTCTTCTTCGCTATCCTATCGCCATATGATTGCTTTCAGCCATGGACAACGTAATACTGAATGGCAAGAATCTACAACAGTACACCTATGCATTCCAATCTACGCAGCATTCGTCGCTCTTTGTCACACCGATCTGCGTATCTTTCCTTGAACCCTGTCTCCTACCTTCTATCCTCCCAGAAACGAGCCATGGGCTTGCAAGTTTCAGATTTGGGCTGGCAAGGCGATCAGTTCGTCAATCTCTCCATATTACTGAAGGCAACATGCCACGAGAAAAGCAGACAGTTCCTAACCTTGGCCGGACTACCTCCACAGACGTAACTACTGTATCATTCGGGGCTCCCGTGTGTTCCCGATATACTTCAGGATTTGTGCTTTTCATGATGACTTTCAAAACCTCTCGAGTGGAAGGGGTCGAAGTGACTCGGGATGCCAGGACGAACCGCGGGAGACAAGGTAAACGGGGGATGTCCAAAGCGACCCTGATTCTACCGTCGATTCCAGCAGGATCCAAGGAAGAGGGGACTTGGGACTGTCCGCCAATGTCATCATCAATGCTTCCTTACAACAATATCCTCAACTACGACATAATTACTATTTCGTAGTCATTTTGTCTGGTGGGGACTGGAGTACATGACATCGGTGGAGTGATTTGCCCTTGGATCTTCCACTTCTCAGTTCGCGGAGGTGTCATTCCTGATTTTGACCCTATATGCGCTTTCTTCAATCAAAGCGGTCGAAGACCTAGATGCCGTACGAGTATGATGCGGGCATGTTAGTTCTTCTTTCAATGGACAATGTCCTCGAACGGGGGTCTTCCCAATAAGGATGTATGTTAGCCGGCAAGATCGGAACAGCTCGTCATGCCTTCTCAGCCAAGGTGAAGGGCAAAAAGTGTACACAAGAAAGGTAACTCTCAGGGGTATAGATATGCCTAGGGCCGAGCGAGAGCGACCGCCTTCACTTTGGCGGAGGGAACGCACACACCCGTTTGTACGCCGATATGCACTATGCACTCTGCAGCGTCTTTTGCCTCTCGCTTGTCTTACCATTCTAGCCTACCAATGGCTTCGAGCAAGACCACCCCTTTTTTCTTCCATCCTTGCTCTTCTGTTGGTTTGTTTCACATTCTTCTGGCCGGGTCAGTGACTGCAGCGTACCTTTTTTGTGACTGGGCTTAAAAGGAAGGTCGAAAGGGTCAAGTGATGGCCAAGCCAAAGAGGTCTGGGCCTTCGATAACCCTTGGTCCTGTCGCCTCTTCCTTGTTGGTGCACTCGACCAAAAGTCAGCCAGTCTGGTCAGGGCGGTTTGCATAAGTTCGCCGTCAGAAGCTCTGATTTTCTTCTTTTTCCAGATTTTTGACACGTCTCTTTCCAATGGCATCCTGTATGCAGTCTCGCTCGTTAAAATGTCCCCTCTATTTCATGCTGTATGTCGGGGTCTGTTCTTTCTCTCTTCAGCTTGGGAATATCCGGTGGCTCGTGCCCTTATATTTATCCTTGTAGTTCTCGTTTGCTCTCGCCAACCTCTTCCGCCCCGTAAGACGCACGGAGTATTACAGAGCGATGAGGCCGAAGGGCGAGAAAGCGCTTCCACAGGGTAACAACCGGTGGATAGGGAAGGTTTATTCGACGACTAATAATTTATGGTTCGCAGCGTCATAGATACTTTTTGCGAAGTTGCTTCTTTCTTTCTTTCTTTCTTTTTCTTTCTTCTTTTTTTCTTCTTCTTTTTTTTTCTGGCTGTACACTTTTTCAATTTTTCCAAAATATTCAGTATAAAAAAAATCACCTTCTTCACCTGTATCGTCAACCGGAAGAGCACCCGAAGCCAAGCAAAAGGGCAAATAAATCGTCGTGTGAGGTCAACAAACAGACAGAGAGGGAGATCCTTTCCCGCAGTATCGAGCATCCCCCACCTGAAAGGGCACACAAATGTGACCATATGCCAAGCACAGTTGTCATATGTGATTGAGTGACACAACGCAAGGTTGTCTTTGGTCTCTCATCCCTTTCGTCACGGCAATCAATGCGTAGAGTCGATGCCTTGTCACCCGCTCATCATTGTTCGTGATTTTCCCCCTGCATATCACTACGACGCATTCTGTTCGCACGTCCCCTTGACAACAACCACTGCACCCAAATAAGGCCGAACACGGTTAAAGAACGTCGCAACTGGCAGCACCATCCTTGCCTAAACGATATGCAGGTACGAACAAGCACAAGCAACCATCAAAGTACTGATATTGGTCAATTGGGAGAGAAAGGGGGGACTATGGGGCCCTTGCAGTAAATGGGCCTTGCGTCCGCTGGGATTCAGATTTGAAAAATAATATATAAATATCCTGAAACACAGTACCTCCGTAGATAAGATGCTTGCGACCAGGAGGTGAGGTGCATAAGGAGGGGGGTAGGTGGTCTGGGCAACTTAGCGGCTGCGACGTTGGCGGCCTACGGGAAAAAGGGCAACGGACATCTCAACATTTGAAACACAGAGCGAGGACGCTTCATATTCGAGATCAGATGCATGTAGAAAATAAACCAATCAAGAAAGAAAGTCAGAGTACAACGTACGACACACGACGTCGAAAAAAACGAGAGGCTGGCATGGGATTAGGCAAAGAGGCTCGCAGCGTCTTTTCTTCAGTTATATTGGCTTGGCTACGGTCCGTGAGCGGTGGCTCTGGAAACCGATCCGAGGATAGATACACTGGGCAATAAAGTGGCGTGGTGAAAAGACAGCAGATAATAACAGAGAACATATACTGTACACCAAAAGGACGCTGCAAAGGCTGTTTCGATATGTTAAGGAAGAACATCGTCATAAACGCCACACACAAGAGGACTGGTTTGCAAAGCGCGTGGGCACCAGTCGAATGCCACCAATCGACGTCTGGACTACGATTGTTCTCCAGGGGGGGTTTCTTTGAACTCTTGCTGCGTAAATATAGCCGTGATGCTGGCATGGCAAGGCCGTTTATGCGACCTGTCTGGCCTGCCGCTGGCCTCTTCGGGCCTTGCGAACCGCCTGTGTTATTGCTATTGATGGCTCTTTAAACGCTCATTGCTGTGAATTGGACATGGATGATGAATCGTCTAGATACGCAATGGCTGACCGTTGCTCGTTTTCGAAACACTCTGCAAGTGATTAAAGATGGTGCATCAACCCGGCATCTGATTTCAGTAGGCGCCGACGATGGTGACGAGGCCAAAGAAAGGTGACGGGAGGACGATTCTTCATCCCCAGAGACCAGGCGAAACCAAAGTTGCCTTACCCAAACCATGTGCCGTGGACAATGGACTGATTATTACGACATTGCGACGTTTTACTCGGTTGATTTCTAGTACACTCAAACATATCAAGCCTAATACACGCTCCGGGCCCATTTTACTTTATACCATCGAAGAGTCAAGGCCTTGGGGCCGTTCGCAGTCTGTCAGCTCTTACAGCTGTCGTAGGTTCATGGAATGTGCTTGTATGGCTTACGGAGAAAATACGACGCCGGTGGCCGTGGAGTGTATTGCTTACGCATGTCTACTTAGAAACCCCGTAACTCGTACTTTCGGACGGTGTCGGAGTCTAGGGTCTGTGTTCTGGAAAACTATGTGGCCAAAGCTGAAAGACAAGGGACGAGGACATGAATACCAGAAAAGGAATCGAAGAATACAAAAGTGGAGATTTCTGTGAGGCATGACCCTCCTAGCTTCTCCGTAGAGAACCGTGCTCACTCTCACACGACCGGCGTGGAAAACAAAATACGGCTGGGGTTCCACTCCTCCCTCGTCTGTCGTTGCTACTCCGGTGCAGGCCAAGACAGCACAACAGGAATGCCTTTTTGGGCCCTTTCGGCGCTACGTTTCATGCTGTCGACTTGAAGGTGGACTCGAGGGGATAACGGACAGGTCCATGCACTTCGTCCGCAGTCAATCGCTTCAGCATGCATATCGTATGGCGTCTTTGGGCTGTGGATTGATCGGTCCGTTCGTTGGTATCGCAGAGATGCATGATGAAAAAACGATAAAGACAAAGGATGGCAACGAGTGCAAGGATGTTGAAG